CCACTTCCTTCAGATTTCTCTGGATCCATTGTTTCAAAACTGAATGAACTGACTCTGGCCCTTTTATCTAGCTACTGAAGGTTCTGATTGTTATCAATTATGACTCTTTGTGTTTCCACCTGGGTAGTTGTGTGCTAATTGAGCTCAGCCTGTGCTGACTTGAGGGAACAATATTGAATGTTAGTGCTTTCTCAATGACCACATGGTGTAGGCAATGAGAAATTAAGGGATTTGTGTGTAGAGTTTAGGGAAATGGGTGTCCTTTTTAAAAAATGGAGTTATGGTTTATAAATTTTAGTTTAAAAGCCTGGTTATAGTGTTTATCCAATTGAGAAAAACTGTACTAGGGAAAATCTCTTACAGGCAATGGAATTGGCCTGTGTTGAGATAGATGTGGAGTATTGTTACAGGCTGCATCCAGCACACCAAAGGGTTTTTCCCCTTTGCTTGGCAAGGGACAAGGATGCATGTGATGTGGACACAGCCCTCTGGCTAGACCCAGCACAAAAAACAGACTTTGAGTTGCACACCATTGTTCTTTGGGCTTACTATATTTTTATGCAAGTGCTGAACATACAGATATTCAATACTGTATTACTTGCTGTAATTACAGTATACTATACATTTACTGTACTAAGTTGTGATTATACTTAAAATTGGAAAGTGTGTTACCTATACGCCAAAAAACATTTTCTGTAAGTACATGCCCTGGACTCTGTGTTCTCAATTTTTTGATGTAGTGTCTAAAGAATGCTCTGTAGTGTTTTACATATTGACTGGCTGTGTTTAAGTTTTGAAAGCATTGTTTGATTTTGAGCATACATTACATGGTTTTGAGGTGATTGTTTGATTTTGCCAGAAGAGTCAGGGGTTTTGTGAATATAGTTGAAAGAATAGATTTTGTTTTTAACGTTTCAAGATGAAATGGATGAAGGTTTCAAAAAATGTGTCTTAGCAATTGTGAAAAACTTTAAAATATGTTGTGGTCTTGTTGTTGTAGGACAAGGATTTTCCCTGGAGTATAAGAGTGGGTTATGCCAGAGACATTGCAGCTGGAATGGTGAGTCTTGTTGGTCATTCTAAGAGTGAAAGGTTCCAATATCCAAAATAAATCCTTAATCTAGTACCAACTTCCCCTAATGTACATAACCTCTCTCCTAAGGCCTATCTACACTCCATGAATGTCATCCACCGAGATCTAAACACACACAACTGCCTGGTCAGAGAGGTAAACAAGTGGTTCCATCACACACATCAGCAAATATCGTCACTGTAAGATATACAAGCTGATCAAATATGACAATTTCCCCGCTGTTTTGCAGCGTTACATCAATATGTTGATTACTTCATGACATTCGAGGAATGTGTGTAATTAGGCTACTGTGAACAAACAAGACTAGGGTTAGGTATTGATAGCTGTCTCAATTTTGGATCCAATTCCAAGTTGTTAAAATAACCAGACTATTTCAACCATTTATCTATTACTTTTAGCTAATCATTTGAACTGATTAGTCATTACTTTTAGATAACTATTTTAATGGTTTATCCAATACATTTAGCTACCTGTTTAGACATCTGTGCTCATTTGCTAATAGTTTTCACTGCAACACTGCCAACATAACCAAGATTAAACAACATAGCATAACTTCTTCATTAAACATTATTAACATTTCTTTCTCTCTCTTCTTGTTTAGAACCAGTCTGTGGTGGTGGCAGACTTTGGACTTGCCCGGCTGGTGATGGAGGAGAGGAATCAGGGCAGAATATCCTCTCTGGAACGGCCTGCAAAGGGGACACTGTCTGAGCTCCGCAGGCCTGACCGGAGGAAGCGGTACACCGTGGTAGGAAACCCCTACTGGATGGCTCCTGAGATGATCCACGGTGAGTGCACGGGCAAGGTTTCAGGCTAGCAGGGGATCGCTTGAAGAATCGTCTGAACCAAGGACCCCCAGGGCACATAAACCCTATTTTATTTATCTCTAGGAGCCCATAAATGAGGCTTTTCTGCTTTGGATCCAGTGGAATTAATTATTAAAATAGTTAAAATTACAAATGTCTCTGTGACTAGGACTTTGGCAGTCATGTGAGACCTCACAGAGTAGGTGTGAAGATTCACGTTGGATTGAGACTTGCATTCCTACAATAAATATTGCTTTCTGTTTTTAATAAAACACTATTCAATGAAAGACAATTTGCTGAGAATGCTTTTCTCAAGTATACCATGCTGGTTTGACATAGGTATACATACTCTACTAAGTGAAGTTTCTGAGCAGTATTGACTAACCACAACTTGCCTCTCGACAGGGAAAAGCTATGATGAACGAGTGGACATATTTTCCTTTGGAATCATGATATGTGAGGTAAGAACATCTAGGCAGAGCAAAATGTTCCTAAAAATATTGATTTCTAAGAATTGAAAAGATGTGGTGCTGAGTATCTTTCTCTGTCTCTCTTAAGATAATAGGTAGAGTGAGTGCCGACCCTGACTACCTTCCCCGGACGAATGACTTTGGGCTAAATGTGGCCAGTTTCCTGCAGCAGTACCACCCTCCACAGTGCCCCTTGGCCTTCCTGCCGCTGGCTGTCCTCTGCTGTGACATGGACGCCGACAAACGGTATCATTGCACAAATCCAACACAACTGCAGCCCTAAATTTCTATAAAGCAAAATATGAGCTATATGTATAATATTGCTCAGTTAGACACTGACCAAGTATCTCTGTTTTATATTTTGTCTATTGTGACTTCATTGTCATCAACTCCACCTGATGGTATCAAAGTCCAGCGGTAGTATTATGTTGTATAGGAAAATGCTAAATACTTTATTCATCCGTTACCTTTAACATTTCAGTCAGAAAATCATGCGGTTATTTTCTGGTCTATATTATAACTGACATATGAGTCCACATACAGCTTTAAGCTTCTATGCAGGACTCTTTGTGCTGCCCAAACAGTGAATAGTTTACAAAAGCAATGCATTACACAAACAAACCAAATACACAATATTTAGTCAATGCACTACTGCAGCAGCGCATATAAGACCTACAACTCCTTATCACTACAACCCTTTGTCTTTCACTCTTTCAGTCCTTCCTTTTCAAAGCTGGAGGAGTGGCTGGAGAACCTGCTGATGCACCTGGATATCGGTCTGCCTCTGCTCTCCGAGTTAGAGCAGCTCAGCAGAGCCTTCTGGCAGAATCACAGCCAGCAAAACCACTCTCACATACAGCACAATACCCTTGATTCTCATGAACAAACCCACTGTTCACAGCCACAGAGACACAGCCCCGACCCCAAACAGAGTCCGGACAATGCAAATAACCACATAGAGCCTAATCACTTCACTCAGAGCCAAGACCATGATAGCACACCTGACAGCCATTCGGACGGAGAGCAGCATGACATGAGCACTGAACAAGACCACTCCTGTTTGAGCAGGCAACATAATGACCACTCACACGACAAGAGCCAGACGTGTTGTAGGTCAACGAGCACAGACTCAGGAAAGAATGGGTCTGAAGCCTATGGACACAATAACACCTCAGGAAAACCAAACGCCCAGTATGAGCCCTCACAGGCGCTGCAGGACAAAAACTCACTGCTAGGACGGTCTAACAGGCCCAGAAGGACATGCAGAGCGCTGTGGGACAGATCTACAGAAGACAGCTCTTTTCTCTGAATGGTTAATCTGATGGACAGCCAAGACAGGACACAGCAACAAAGCCCAGTTTTGAAGGTTAAAAAAAATGAAGCCATTTGTGCCTTTTCAAACAATTGGGAGAGAAGTGAAACATTCATAAAGTAGTATGTGATGGACTAATGCATGGAAAACCTGTAAAGGCCTGAAACCAATCAATACAGATTGATATGGGATATTTTTCATGAAAAGGAGAAAAGATTAGTGTGCAGCTTGATAGCATTTGCTTAGCACATTACATTTGCCTCATATTGCTCTGTAAACGGGTATTTATGTGGTTTCAACTAAAGCCCGACTGATACTGGATTTAGTTGATGTCAGTATTGACATTTCAGAGTTCAAAAATAATTCAATAGAAGTATATTTGGTAGTGCAAAGTTGATAAGGATTCCTTGAAACAACATTATGTAAAATTTGGTGTGTTTTGCAATTTGACATCAAGCAAGCACAACACAAGACATAGCAAGCCAGCTAATAAGTTATTACTTACTACTCCAACAGCTACCAAGAAGGCCAGCTCGGCTCGGCATCTGCATCCTTTCAGCTCTTTTATCTCGCACCAATGAGTAAAAGCCAGCCAGATATTTACTCTTGCTCGGTCGCTCTCTCTTTTTCTCTTCTTCACTTCCTCAGACAGCCTCTTCTTCGGTCTCTTCACAGCCTGTGCCATGATAGATACTACTGAGCTAGCTTCTTATTATTGCTTGCTTGCTTTAGAGTCTTGTTGGCTTGTAGTGCTGTTAAGCATTTCGCTGTTCTCATGATAGGTTTCCTGCCCAGGAGTGCAATACTTCATAGTGCAATACCAAGTGCTCAGGTCCTGGAGTGGCAATGACAGAGACACAGTTCTCAATATTTCATGTCAGCGTACCATCAAAAACTATTCTGAAGCCATTATTTTAAAAGAAGATTACTTCATAATGTTGCTTTAAGTTCCCCGAAATCTGTGAGCGCTCTCAGGTGAACAGACTATGTAATGGAAACACTGTTTTTAAATTACCTCAATGGTCGGGCAGTTTATCAGTTGGGTTCAAGTATCAACTTTGTTCAGTAGCTGTGAATGGCACTTTATACTTTAAGCTACATTGCATACGTCAATTATTTATCAGAATGCCTTATGTATTTTCTGTTGAAAAATTTCAGTCCACATTCAACAACACAATGAGCTGTGAACATATACAATTATAACTGTAACTTAGTTAACTTAATAAAGAGAAATACGAATTTACGCAACTACATTTCAATCATTATTTAACATGAAATGACTTACTATTTATCATATCTTAGAAAAATTTACTCCTACTTTATTATCAAATACTGTTGTTTCTAAAGCAGTCATTTATAATTGATGAAATTACCACACATTTTTGGTATTGTGATATTTCACATTTAATGCTAGCTTAACATTAGAGTAAAGTTACAGTTAACCTACATTGTAAAATTTATGAATGATCTTATGTACCATGAACCAGGTAAGTGATGATAATTGATGATGAGAAATGATCATTTATTTTTTCAAGTAAAGTAGTCAACTAAGGTTAGCCATTTGAACCTCTCATGTGTTAACTTGGTTAAGTTACATCCAATTCACACTTGTAGCCATACGCTAATGTTAAGCATCCGTTTCTCTGAAAGACAACATTAACTCATGAGTCTATTCTAAAGTCTATTTTTTTATTTAGCATTTTTACAAATATACAAGAAATATGTTTAATGCTTTCTGTGTGCTGTACAAAACAGTGTTTGCTTAAGCTAGCTTGGTTCTGTAGCTACAATGGATTCTAACGTAAATCTAATGTAAATTTAGCTAACATTAACTACATTGAAACGTTTGAAACGCATGGCTTCAGCATGCACATTTCAACCGTCCACCTCTGTGGTCGGTATGTAGCAAATACACATATTTCCCCATTTTTTTTTTACGTTGTTTAACGTTACTTACCAGCTTAAGTAAGTTAAACGTTAACAGCTAACGTAAGTTAGCATTAGCTAATTATGTTGTTGTTAACAGCTATGTTAACGTTAACATGTTTTGGCAATGTTACTCTCAGTTTACCGTTACACTGCATGCAGCAATGTGCAGCAATCTTTTTGCTTCTGGACAGTGGAGAAATTGATTAAGTTTTAAGAGTTTTTTAAGAAGTTTCTATGGGCTTCTTTAATATTTAGTTTTTGCCCTGAGACTAAGAATGTCTGTGACTTAAACGTTCACCTAACGTTACTCCGCGCTTAGCCCCATCAAAACTTCCACAAGCTACAAAAAGCTGAGATTTATGGTTTAGCACTATTAGTCGAGGATGGAGACTTAAGTAACGCTAATGGGTTTTACAAATGCACATCTGGCTAACTGTCCTAACTTAACGTTACCTTCCGTTAAAGAGCAGCTTCCCTGAGCTTTTCTACGGGACTATCTCTCACGCAGACGAACAGAACTCTACATGAGATACCACAAACTAGCTTTAATTAATTTAATGTTCATAATAATCATGAAATAATATTACATATTATATTATATTATATTATACAATAATAGTGTTTCGGAAATTATTCTGATTCTTCTTAGTAGCTATTCTTGTTAACATCCTGCACCGAAGTTACTGAGCTGTTGGGGGAATGTCGACCTGTCTGGTTTTAGGCTCCTACACTCTGTTGTACTTAAAACCACGTCAGAGCGGCAGGACTGAGCGGACTGCACCAGCAGCTCAGTCTGTGGACACACACGCACACCATATGTCTCACCACATTTGATTACTTGATGGACAGTTTCTTCTGTCGGATTCATTATAATTGACGTTTATCCATTTACTGCCTCTGATTTGAGGACATTTTGAGAAGCAGGAGCATCATGGACCACATGTCCTCTCCGGTCAGGTTCCGCAGCAGTAAAAAGGGTACGTCTACACGCACACCTGCATTTACACACAAATAGGCTGCATTTAATTTTAAAGCTTTGTTTATTGATGTGAGGAGGGTAAAGCTACTTATATTTTATTCATGTATTTATTTGGCAAGGACCGTTAGCCATAAGGTTTTGTTCTGGTTCTTGTTATCCAGCTGATACAACAAGGCTTTCTGTATTTTATTTATCTTTTTTAACAAACTAACGTTAAATATTTTTTCCCCCATTTTTATGCTATCATCTCTGCTCCAAACAGCTACAACTTTTTCAGAAAACGAGGTAGGGCAAGTTTGCAGAATACTATTTAATGATAGTGTGAATAACTTGTGTGTGTGTGTGTGTGTGTGTGTGTGTGTGTGTATGTGTGTGTTGAAGACTTAAATCTCCAACCCCCACACTGTCAGAGCATTAAAACCTGGGTTAAGCCTGCTGCAAAGCTTTGTGGGTTATTAGAGCTGACAGGTAGAGGGACGCCAGATGAACCCTGAACAGACCAGCAGCACTGTGGCTGTGTGTGGGACCCTGTGGCTCAGGAGATAGAGCGGGTTTCCTGTTAATTGGAAGATTGGCAGTTCAATCCCCAGCTCCTCCAGGTTAGGCAAGATACTGAACCCTGAACTGCCCCTGGTGGCTATTCCACCAATGTGTGATTGTTTCTATTTTAGCACTTAATCTCAGTGTGTGAATGCAAATTAGTGCAAACGCGCTTTGTTTATTGATCGCAAAGACTAGAAAGACATTTGTTCTGCTGTCTTTAGACCAGGTCAGCAGGACTATGAGCACACCTAGTGAGCACCAACCTGAATTTCAGTATTTGGTGCTCACTGGGCAGTGCTCACTGGAGAAATATGTTATCTCCTGTAAGGCAGGTGTATAGGCTTGGCTGTCATAGCTGCTCATGACAGCAAGCAGAGTGGCTCTGGGGAAATTACCAATGAGGTGACCAAAGCAGGCATGGACTGCATAGTCAGTCAAGTTTTCCTGATGATTCATTCAATAGCTATCTGTACATAAGATGCTCCTTAAAAACAATAAAAAATATTACTTCAGTCCAGTTAGTATATCCAGTTTGACCCTGGTGTTCACTAAATTCCAACTCCAGACTGTCTGTTGTTCGTATTTGCACCCCGCCTGGACAGATGGATGAAGGCCTCTGTAATAGTGTAATGGGATCACAGGTCAGGGCTAATCAGTGGAGAAAGGGTGTAGTTAGCCACTACAACAGGAAGTCACCCACTCATCTCATGGTGTCATGTACTCAGAGAGCATGGCCTGTGGTCAACAGCAGATAGTTAGACAGTTAGTGTTTGTCTTTATACCTGTGGTGTTATTATAGCACTATGTTGATGCTATGTGGTTAGCACTGTCGCCTCTCAGCAAGAAGGTTGTGGGTTCAAACCCTGGTTGCCCCGGCCTTTCTGTGTGGAGTTTGCGTGGGTTCTCTCCGGGTGCTCTGGCTTTCTCCCACCATCCAAAGACATGCAGACTAGGTTAATCTGAAATTGTCCTTAGGTGTGAATGGTTGTTTGTCTAAGTGTGGCCCTGCGATGGACTGGCAACCTGTTCAGGGTGTACCCTGCCCCGTAAGCTGGGATTGGCTCCAGCCCCCCACGAACCTGTACGCAGGATAAGCAGTTTATATTATTTTTTATTATTATATAGGATAAGCGGTTTATATTATTTTTATTATATAGGATAAGCGGTTTATATTATTTTTTATTATTATATTTATAGGGGCGGCGCGGTGGTGCAGTGGTTAGCACTGTCGCCTCACAGCAAGAAGGTCATGGGGTTGGTTGCCCCGGCCTTTCTGTGCGGAGTTTGCATGTTCTCCCCGTGTCCACGTGGGTTCTCTCCAGGTGCTCCGGCTTTCTCCCACCATCCAAAGACATGCAGGCTAGGTTAATTGGTGTCTCTAAATTCCCCATAGGTGTGAGTGGTTGTCTGTGACGATGGATGGATATTATATTTAAATTATTATTATATTATTTATTCTTTATATCTTTATTATATTATATCTGTCTGTCTACAGTTTGGACTTGACATTAAAATTAGCCTATTCTACGTCTTTTGTTTGGAGCCCCATTGATTAGAACAATAGGTGGCAAAGTGCAGTAGCATTGATTTTGGAAATAAAGCAAGTGTTGCCACTGCTTTTGACATTTCTTGTCAATCCTTCCCTTGCCTCACCTGACTGCAAGCCCAAAACTTAGAGTACATAGTACTGCATTGCAGGACACTCCTATCAATTAAGGCTTGTTTATCTTCACCTGATATTAAAAACTTAAAATGTTTTCAGTGTAATGTCTAAGATTTCAATGCATAATTTTCTTTTAGTCTTGCTTACATTTTAGTATTTATCTTCCTATACATTACAATACAATATACATTTTTATTGTGCCATAATATTTCAAAACAGATCAGTAAATAGGAAAGAAAAATTCCTTCCTTTTTGGCATTGATTAAAAGTGAGTTATATTTTCCTCCTGTCCTAGTTGTCCAGTCTGTCCATTGAGGACCAGGAGGACACTCAGTTTCCTTTCGCGATGAGGGATCTGCCTCCTGTCTCTCAGCCTGAAGAAGAGCACCAGACACTAGACCACCAGCTACCAGTCCCCCATGAGGTAGAGGGAACTGAGACAGCAACCAATGGGAGACTGCCCAGCCTTCCCAGGACTCCCCCTGTGTCCCATCCCATCCCCTGCCACCCTGCTGTCTCCCCGACAGTCCCTCACAGACCAAATCGCGTGAGACCGGATGCAGCGTTTCAGCCCATGCCACTGAGGAGGCAGCTTGCCTCTCAGGTGTCTATGGACTGTCCACTCAGCCCTGTCTCCCGTCCACTCAGCCCCTGGGGACGCTTCGACCCCTACGACTGTCAAGAGGTGTGTTCCTGTGTGCTTGTTACCTGTGCATGTGCATCTTCATGACGAGTATGTGTGCAGAAGAATTTTCTGTTATTGTCTACTGTCACACTTTCTGCTTTTGTGATGTAGTTAGTTTTGAGTGTTTGGAAGATGGAATGACCTGGCTTTCCCAAATAGAAAACAAAAAGAAAGACGTAAAACTACGCAATAATCATTGGTGAGCTAAATTAAACTACTGACTTAAAAATCATGTCAATAATTTAAAATACTTAATAAACAGGTCATGAAGCTGCAACAGCAAGTGTCCAAATATGCCCCTATGTCACATAATGTGTGTTTACTTCACTTCCTAACATTTATACATAATTCTGAAATCATACTTTATGTTCTAACACACAAATGTTCAAGAAAAGACTATTTACTTCTTAGTACATCTCTAAACCCTTACCCCTACTGTCAGATGTCCTTCTTGTACACTACACAGCAAAATACAGAGTGAGTTAAAACAGAGGTCACACATGAACTGTCATGTTAAAAAAAGAGCTGCATGTCTATGTGGTTAAGAATTGTTAGACCACACTTATCACTGCTGTTCTGCACACAAAGTGCAGCTTTGCTGGTATATAAAGATGAAAAAGTCTATTGTTTCCTCCTCCCTCGGCTCACCCAGTCTTCCTCCTGAAGAGGGAACGTGCAGTCAGGTCCCATGATGCTTTGCAGTGCAGCACATAGACTTGTGAAGCAGAGGATGCAGATTGTGACGAGGGTCAGATTGTGATGGGGCCAAGTCAGGCCACAATGTTTGTTACTGTGACTACCATGTTACCGTGACTGTAACGTAACTGTAACATACAGTACTCACTCTCTTAAAGGTGGTGTGTGCAATTCTGGAGAAATCCAATACCATGACAAATACCATGATATAGAGTGAAGATCAACGCAGCAAGTAATGTGACTAACATTATCTAAGTCATGGGTCTGCAAACTGTGGCTACAGTTGCTGCTGCAAAGCTAACACGCAGAGAGGAAGAGTTTCCCATTTACAGAGCCAGGGCTGTGTATCAACACCGGATTGTTTATCAGTGCACAAACACAGAACGGTAAGCTAGCGGACAATGAGGAGATATTTGCTGAATTTGACAAAAAGACGTGTATTGGATTAGAATCGCTAAACTTTAACAATACAATGAGTACAGCAACATCAAATTTACAATTCACTAAGCAGCATGTAAAGATTTTAAGTAAATATGTTTTAGCACCAGAGGGAGAATCAGAATACATATGTGGAGGTTTGACAGGGTTATTGATCACCAGTAAATGACTGATAACTTCACCAGTGCTGATATTTCAGGATTTCGACACCCTTTGTCTGACCTGTATTTATTTTGCAACAACAATGCTGGCACTGTAGCTCAAAGGAGAGAGTAGAGATGGTAAACTTACAAAATGCAATAATATCCCAGTATTTAGCATCATATTTGAAATAATGGTTTGTGTTCACCTGTTAAGTTCTTACTTATAAACAACATGCACATACATACATGTTATGTTTGTGTTTTCTGCAGGATCAGGACAAGGAGTATGTGGGTTTTGCCACATTGCCCAATCAGGTTCATAGAAAGACAGTAAAGAAAGGTTTCACATTTACGCTAATGGTGGCAGGTGAGTCCTCCAATATGTCTGCTTACTGGGATATTTTAACAGTTTTGATTGAGAGTTTAGATTTTTATTTTCGTGACTGAATGTAACATCTTCCCTATAAGGAGAAACAAATCACACCATCATATACATCAGAGTGGATCTCAATAAACTGATATCTTCTTGTTTTATGTGTAAAGGAGTACTTTTTTGGTAAAGTTTTTGTTATTATATATGTTGAAATATGAGGAATATAGACATTGCACAGTTGGATGTGATATTTTACTCAAGCTGCTTCAAGAATCAGGGTTGTAGAGTCTCTCTCTTTCTAGGGGAGTCTGGCCTCGGTAAATCCACACTTATCAATAGTTTGTTCCTCACGGACCTCTACAAAGACAGGAAGGTTCCTAATGCACAAGGTAAGATAAGTTCTATTGTTTATATACATGTTGTCCGTGTAAATGAAGTAGGAGAGTAGCTGGAATAAGTAGATGTATAGTCTTAGATTATTAGCTGTCATTTTTCTAGTGCAAAATGTGATGCTGATCTCTGACATTGAAGTGTGTGTTTGTGCGCTCGTATACGTGTTAGTATACACTGTTCACAATGTGCCTGTATATATTTAGTTACTTTGCACTTGCATGTGTCTGCAGAACGGATCAATCAAACAGTCAACATCGTCAAACACGCAATAAGCATTGAGGAGAAAGGAATCAAGTTGAGGCTCACCACCATAGACACACCAGGTTTTGGAGACGCCATCAACAACACAGAAAGGTCAGGTCATCGACATGCGCCTGCAATAGTGTTCTCCTCCTGCAAACTCAAACCAGCTTGACTCAGACGTGACACATTGTTGCTTTGGTGGCACTGCTGCTCTGTTGGACATGGTTGACAGCTAGAGCAGAGACAGGCTCCAAGGTTTTCAACCAGACTTCAACTCTTAGCATCGCAAGCACACAGAATATGATTTTATTTTGAAATAGCTCATGTCATATACTGCCAGTTCTCCACCAGGGTTGTTGTTTTACTCACAGAGATTTTATATGTTTACATCAGCTGGAAACCAATAGAAGACTACATCGATCAGCAGTTTGAACAGTACTTCAGAGATGAGAGCGGGTTGAACAGAAGGAACATCCAGGACAACAGAGTCCACTGCTGCCTCTACTTCATCTCCCCATTTGGCCACGGGTACACTGACGCTGTGTTTTACTTCTGCACATAAAGCTAATGTATTAACAACAATACTGCAGTGGCCTCGTCTTAAAGTTGTTCAAAATTTTGAACAAATGTGTTTTTGTCCCTTCAGTCTTCGACCTCTGGATGTCGAATGTATGAAGGCCTTGCATGAAAAAGTCAACATAATTCCTGTATTGGCCAAAGCTGACAGCATGACACAAGCAGAGGTTTGGAGAAAGAAGATGAAGGTATGAAATTATTAACACCCACACACAGACACCACAGCCCTGGCCTGGACTGAGACACATACCTGAAGCCACAGGTTCTTTGCTATATTAATCAGATTTCCAATGTACATAAAAGAGTACCTCAGCGATTTAGCATTGCACTTCCAACTCCTAAGAGACATATTAAACAAGAGAACAGACACCCTAGCTTGGTGTAGCACTTTAGCACACGGGGGCCTTGGGGGGAAAAGTTAGGACTATTCCCCTGACTGACAGGGGCCCCAAAAAATAATTATAAACTAATATCAAATTATATTATATATACATAATATAAACCATTATCATTGAGTATAAATATATTTCAAATATAATAATAAAATGAATGATCTCTTTGTTTTTACTTGCTTTTGGCAGTAAAAATTAAAAATCCCCAATGACAAAAAAGTAAACAGCCACCGCCCTGTATCTGCATGAAATGGTTTGGTCCTGCCTCAGCGCACTGTATCAGTGACAAGTTTAGTTGCAGTCGTAGATGCGCCAGAAATACAGTGATTACAATGTTGCCTAGTAAAACCAAAATCTGGTTTTCAAAATAGGAAAGAGAGGAAAGACAAAGGAAAGGATGCCAATCTGGAACCCAATTTTTCCCCAAGAAAGGTGGGCAGCCTTTAGTCTGTGAGTGGTGTTAACCTGTTGGCTTAATGTCCACAGTGGAATAAACTAGCTAGCTACAGACTAGTGTTAGCCAACATTTCCTCAACATTTAATCAGTGCAAGGAAACGTTTAGCAAGACATTCATTTTAAATTGTTGTCCCCGCCCCTTTTAGCAGACTAACAACAGATGAGTCAGCAGCACCCCAGTCTCCCCGTAACTGTAGCCTCCATGTCCCAGTGAAGAAGGGGAGCAACATGGTGATAATGACATGCCAATTAGCATCATTCCAGGGAGTCTGTGGGGATCTCTTGCCCTTTTTATCATAACAAAAAATATTAATGACAGAAATTCAAACACAAATTATTTTCTCACATAATGATCATTATGAAATAAATAAAATTAAAAAACACCTTCCTGTCTGTACTGGATGCTGGACAGCAGCTTACCTCAGCATTAAAATGATCCAGTTTGATACGCTCATTTAGATTGAGTTATGGCCGTTAAATGACATCTATAGATACAGACTTTATTATTCCCATCATGAAGAGAAATTTATTTGAGAAGCAAATAGTGAACTGCATCCTGTATGCAGACTTGCATGTACAAATCACCAGCAGTAAATATTGTGCTAGTACTAGTATTAAACTACAAGAAGCCAGACACTTGCAAGCCTTTAATTAGTTATGTAAAGCCCCCCCCGCTTTAGCATGCTAACATTTGTTAATTAGCAAAAAAAACACAAAGTACAGCTGAGACTGATGGGAATGTCATTAGTTTAGCAGGTATTTGGTCATAAAATAAAGTATTGTAAAAAACAAAATGTTGACCTGATGATACAAAGTGAAGAGATCACCAACGTTATTACAATTCATCCTGATGGGGAGATGAATGTTTGCACCGAATTTCATGTCAGTCCATCCAATAGCTGTTTAGATATTTTGCTCAAAACCATAAATGTGAACCTCATGGTGGCATTAGAAGAAAAGTCATCCTCTCTGTCTGTTCAAAATTTTGTGGCAACTCATCCAATAATTGTTGATAAATGTTTGTCTGGACCAAACAGACCAACATCTTTTACAGCCACAAGCTATAAAAAAGAACATCCAAAATCGACAAAGAAGAGGCCAAAATTTCCTGACTTTTAGTCCCTAACCCAGAAACACTGGATTTGCTTCCCATAGTGATAGTGTCTCAACAAAGATTAGTCATTGAATGGGAATTAGTAACATTTGGAAGCTCCAAGAAAAGGACTTGAAATAAGCCTTTTTGTCGATTGGCCATCCAGTCTCTGTAAAGAAGTTTTTTTTTTTCAAACATTGTTATTTTAATGTACTGTAGATCAGAGAGGAGATCAAGCAGTTTGGGATCAACATCTACCAGTTTCCCGAGTGTGATTCAGATGAAGACGAAGACTTTAAGAAACAGGACCAGATACTGAAGGTTCTTCACTTGACTCATTTCATTTCTCGTGGCTGCAATGTGCCTTCTCATCTGCCCAAAGACTGACCGAGTTATTGTTTCTACTTCTCTCTGCAGGACAGCATCCCGTTTGCAGTAATTGGGAGTAATGTTCAGGTGGAGAATAACGGTCGCAAGTTTAGGGGTCGTGTCTATCCCTGGGGTGTTGTGGAAGGTATTACACACAAACACACACTCAATATTTATAGCTTTTAATTAAAATGTTTTGTTTTTATTAGCTTTTACAGTGGCTTTGGTATTTCTTTCCTTGGGTGGTAATTTCACTTTTCAGGTTCACTTTTCCTTAACAGACTGAATGAATTTATAATAATCTGCTTTTAGCACCCTGCTTTTGTGTCAACAGAGCTGTTGTTGTATTTGTGTAAAAGTCTGATCCAGTAACACGTTGTCATTGCATGGTCAGTGGAGGACCCTGCTCACTCGGACTTCTTGATACTGAGGAACATGCTGGTGAGGACGCACATGCAGGATCTGAAGGACGTGACGCGGGAGACGCACTATGAAAACTACAGAGCACAGTGCATCCAGAACATGACGCGCATGGTGGTGCAGGAGAGGAAGCGCAGGTAGGCAGGTAGACTGACTGGTTGATTGAACACATTAGGCTCAATACGGGCTCTTAGAAAGAAAAATAACAATGTCACAATGGTGTGAGATGTGTTCTGTGATGATATAAATAGATGCGGTTCTTCTCTGTATGTTTGTGGGTGTGAATATGGGTTTTAGTTTGCGTGAGAAGTATCGAGAGGTGAGTGAGGCGGAATTTCCGCTGCCGCTGGCCCCCGTTGACACCGAGACAGAGAGACAAATCTTTGAGAAGGACGAAGAGGTACGTTTCCCACATTGACTCAACCGTTCATTCACTCAGTTATAGAGGTAATCACCTCTCCTTCATTCATTCCCCTCTGCAGCTGAGGAGGATGCAGGAGGTGCTGGAGAGGATTCAGGAGCAGATGCGGCAGAGCCAGAGAAGTGGCTGCTGATTCTCCCATAATTCCCTGGGAGAGGAGACGAGTGCCCAGGAACACAGAGGAGGTGCTGTTTATGAAGCCGGACGATCAAATACAGATGGAACTTGTATAAAAAGGATATCAGCCATATTGCATTCAGTTCTTTATCTGATTGCTGTTCCCCAGGACAACGTCAGTCAGCAAAACAGTGAGCGAGGCTGGAATCATGGTTCTCCGACATAAAACGTTTCTGTGGGTTTACACAGAAAGGGTTGATATGGGTAATTGTGGATTACTCAGGCTTCTAAAGGAGCATCCAGCAAGCTGATTGCCTGATCCAACTCCTGTCAGAAGGAAGAAACATGCGTGAACTTTACACTCTGTACAAGTATAAAATACATTGGCCCAATCCCAATCTCCACACTCACAGACTCAGAGATCTTTAGACACGTTCCTGGTAAGTCCGTGAGGGCTTAGGGCTGTCCCACTGTTAAATTGTCAAGTGCATCAGGGCTGTTGCAGACATTTTGAGCCCTTTTTACACACTTACTGTAAGTCTACATTTCTGCAGACTTTGCCTGAGGGAATAACGCACAGTTCACAGCATTGTGACGTTAAACCAGGGGAAGCCCAGAGGTGTTTAAAAAGGTAAACAAACATACAAGGAGCAGCTACAAGAAAAACGAAATGTACATCTAAGTGTATGATGCTATTTTGATAAAAACGAGCAAATTGTTTGACAATTACCTCTCATCTACTCTGTAAGGGAAGATCCTGGAACACGTTCAAATCAGGCAGTCTACCAAGTGCCTTGGCCGTGAGGAAAGTAAAACACGTAAATAAACAGTCCCAAACCCACAATTGGACGTAACATGTCACAAAGTGCTCTCCCATAATACAAATTTGGGCCCTTGCAACCTCTCGCACTCAAGCACATACCAGGTTATGTCCACTAAGTCTGTAAGGGTTATTGACGGGAGTTACAGCTCTTTAAAGGGAGCTGAATGTTATGGTCCATTCCTTTCCCAGAGTCAGGACTTTCTGTTCCCAAATGGCTCTTCATGTAATACCACTTCTGTTGTTACATTTGTTGCAAGAAATAAATATGCAAGAGGGAAGGGATCGGCTCTCAGACGGGACTCATAGAGCTTGTTCGCGACTGACACATCACTAGTGAGAGTACAGGGTTCTGGGTTTAAAGTGGAGTTTGGGATTGGGTCTTAGTCACGCTAAACTCCCGGGCATGTTTATTTACATGCAGCTAGGAGAAGCATGTTCCAGCCTTAAGCAGCAACAGGCTCAATGGTGTTCAAGAGCACGCCAGGTCACAGGTGGGTTGATTCTGTGATTTTCAGGTATGAGTGACTCTATCCAAAGACAGAGTTGTTCTGCTGTTACAATTAATTTGTTTTATTACTGTGTTGTAATCTTGATAAGATTTAACTCTGCCATCTAGGGATCATTGTTATTGTTGATGTTAGCGTTGGGTTTTTATGTAAAGTTTATTTTTCATGTTTTATTACTTGAGTCAAGTTTTTTTTTTTTTCCTTTTTGCATTTTTAATGTTGCTGTTTCATAAGGACAAAAAAACAAAATAAAAATAAAAAAAGCTTTCTCACTGCAGTTCCTGTTTATTTTATAGCAAAACCATTAAACACAGAAGCAAAATGTGTTGTAAATGTAATAAGATTTATTAAGAATCTTTATTATTTCATCAGCATAATTCTTCATCATTAATGTGTTTTCTCCATCATCATCGTTATCTTGAACAGTGGACAGTTCGATCTAAAAGGCAGCCCAAGGGGTACAGGCGATATATAACTTAAAACTTTCTCCATAGGGAAAATGTGTTTTTATATTCATATATAATATCAATGTAGCATGAGGTCCAAGATCCCGCCCACGTTATACAGTATTGTACATGGTCCCAAAAATAAACCCTTAAACAAAAACGGCAATCTACATGCAAAACAAAACCAAAAAGAAACAAGCATTTAAATTTTGAAGATACATACACTCATATGCCAAAACGTGCATACAATCACAAAGTTACAAAACTTTCATACATACATACAAATAAACTCAAATTGAATATTAGACATTATTATTATTATTATTATGATGTTATCAGGAAAAGAGCAACACCTTTTCTTTTTTTGCTTTTTCACTTTTTCCACTCCATGTTTCAGCCCAACTCACAAAATGGAAAACTTGAAAACATTTTAAAAAACAAAGCAAAAAAACAAAACAAAACAATACAATTAGGACAGAAAATCTGTCTCTTCCATTCGCTCAATGTGTCCGTGTTTTGCCAGAGTTGTCACAGTGTTCAGGAAAACTGAGTATAGGCACACACGATAGCACCCAAACAGGCTCATACCATAAATCACCTCTGTGTAAAAAAATTGCCTGCTTGCTACACACACGCGCGCACACACACACACACACACACCTCCATCATGCACAGGGCAAACTGTACAACCAAAACAGCCATGCTACAGGTACAGTAGGATTAACTATAGTACAGAATATAAAACATATTTAATACAGTCACATATACGGACATAACATACAGAAACAGCAGAAGAGGCGAGGAGCAGATGCCCGCAACTTTGACATACACAGATGGGAGATTTTATGGTGCGACATGTATAGGCTGGCAAGAAGCCTGTGAAGCCATGAACTTTTTGATTTTGTGCACATAAACACAAAAACAAAAATCACACACAAATAAAAGTGGGTGTCACAGCACATTTTCCATTTTCAAATACTTTGAAACTGATTTTCTGGACTGGTCAATTTAGCTTTGAAGTGGTTTGTTGGATGACATCACTGTCAAAAAAAAAAAAAAAGGCCATGTGTCGCTGCCAAATTATTCTTCACAAAATAACATGCAAACTGATATTTTTTTTGTGCTATATCCAAACTTTTCAAGATGTATGCATCTCCCATAATTTGACAAAAAAACACAACTCATGGTCCACTTACTAGCTTCTCTGGAGCTTCCATCCACATCTCACAGTTGGAGTTGGAGTACTGTATGTAATATAATGCAGTATGAAACTTCAGTCAGGATTATTTCTTGAGTCAACTGTTGTTGTTTTTTGTCAAGGTCACAAGTGAACTTTTACACTGAACGCGTCTCTCATTGTTTTTTCCAGATTTATTTAAAAGCCTGGGCAGGAAGTTTGTGTTGTGTCACGAGTGTTGTGTTTAAGTAACATCAGCATGAGGTCTGAGATGAGGCAGCAGAGGGAGCTGTTGCACTAGAATGAAGAGGATGAAAACCTGTATTGCCCTCCCTAAAGACTGTTGGGGGAACATCACCCATGACCTGTCACTGAATGTTTTGAGAGCAGTTATAGGCGTTTGTACAACTTGTCAATATAAACACAAATTTCAGGCATTTGTAAAAAGCAGACAACTTTACATTTAGATGCTTGTTCAGCATGATGTGTGACATTGCCGCTCTCCTAGTATATTATAACAGGCCTTGATTGGTTTGAAAACATGATCTTAGCTGATGAAAAAGTATATTAAAAGCCGATGTAATAAACACACGCACACTGCAGGCTCGACAGTGGCTATGTTCCTGAAAACTTACAAAGCCCTTTGCCTCAAAAATCACCCTCGAGTATCAAAGACTTGAAAGGAATCGATGTACTCATATGACAAATCTGTAGGTTTTGGGAGTAGATTTGATTTCTCACAGTGAAATCATCTTGTCAGGTCTTGTTTGTACCTCTGTACATTGTGTGCACAAATCAAGAAGAATCAAATCAACTCGAAAGCCTTTAACATTACCGCAGTTCTTTCAAAAGCTCATAGAGGGAAGCTGACATTTAATTTGGACCAAGCTTTTCACCGCTGGACAGGAAATCACATCAAAATTGGAGTGCACCAACTTTATACATTTAACTGACTACCTGAATTCCTATTTAATTTAAACTGTTAAGATTAGAAATTGGCAGAGTGGGATTTGTTTGTTTGGTGTCTGCTGAGATCAAACTTGTTCCTCTACTTTTTATTCTGCGGTTTGGTGGATCCTACAAGGAAATTCAATGCCTGTGCAATAACCAGCAGGTAAAGGTCATGTTGTCTCTAGACATGACAGTAAAAACAGATGCTACTGTATGTCAAGCAAACATTGCCCTAATTCTTCCACTTTATTTTTTATTTCCCCCCCCCCCATTTCTGGAGATTTGTAGGGACCCTCCAATTAAGCCATAATGGGTAGTGGATGAATAATAAATCCACTGTCGAATGGACACTTAACAGTCAGACAGAACGGAGAGAAATCAGATATTAGGACAATGAGGTTGTTGTCTTGTTCCTTGTTTTTGCCGTTTTTTAACTGTAGGTCGGATCTGGTTTTATTATTGCACTGTTCTTTCTGTTTGGTGCCAAGGAACCTTCATTTGGATGAAGACAGAGAGGGCTTAACAATCACTTCATGGAGCTAGATCAGGGAAGAAGGGGAAAAAAGTTCTTGATGACAATAAGTGAAGAACTGCATCAGTAAGTGACAATGCTTTAGGTCTATTTGGCAGACTGCGTAACGTGGACTACTTCACTCTTGGTCAAAGCCCTGTGTGTAATTCATTCAGATAAGTGAGGCCACTGAGCTCCCTCCTCCTGCTCTCAGCACATCTGTGACATTATTCCACCAGAATGTCCCACGACATCATGATTATATGAATACGAAACGGGCACTAATTGTATCACAACGGCAAACTCTGTCTCTCTTTCTCACGCGTTTCTCCTCAATGAGTGAATGAATAATTAAGGTAAGTCCTTGATGCCTGAGTGTGAACTGAGCTTATTATGTTAGTGCTTCAGGTTGTAAAGGAAGGAGAGAAGGAAGGAAGGAAGGAAGGAAGGTAAAACAGAGTTCCTGTTTTGCAGCGGAGACAAATGTCAGTCTTATTTTCACAATGGCCTAACCCACTGACTCTGCTTTAATGTTACTGTTCACATAAGAGCTGTGATCAAAATATCTCTGGAGATATTTATCACAAGTTCTCCAAAAAACTTTTTTTTTGTAAAATTCCACACGTCTATCAGAGATTCTCGACTGTTGATTATTGATAGGAGTGTAAAATCTTCTCCATCCATCTGTCCATCCCATCTTTTTTTAAAAATGTTTCAGGCCAGTTTGAGTGTGCTGACAGGGAAGGTTGGGACTGAAACCATGGTGACAGGGTTGAGGACGGCAGCCTGTCCAACCAGCTGCGGGTGGGGGGCAAGCACTGCTGTGGGTTTCGCAAGTGACGGGCTCCCCTGGCTCATCATGGCTGCGCTGTTCACCTGGGTCCCATTAGTGTTAGCTTGAGGATTAGACTGGACGTGCGGCAGGGTGTGATGTGTGAAGGTGTGAGTGATGTGGCCCACCATGGTGGGCTGGGAGACAGACACGCCCTGAGGGTAGAGGGTCGGGAGGTGGGATGTCAGGGGACCTCCCAGGTGAGCCACTGGGTGGACGGTGATGTGTCCGATGGGCTGGGCAGCTATCGGCTGGTGAGTGGCGGTGGCAGCTGGAGCTGCGACGATTGGCTGAGGAGTGGGGCCAGGTGACGGGGCAATGTGCGTTAGGTGCTTGTGATTGGCTGGCAGGGCGTGATTGACAGCCTGGATGACTGAAGGGTGGGAGACGGCGGCGTGAGCGATGACGGTGGGCTGGACCTGCACCGCCGTGGGCTGAATGGGATGAACTGGCGGCGGAGGGGCCGGCCCCGGAACGATGGCTTGGGGGGGAGGGGGAGCAGAGGGGGAATGCGTGGTCAGGACTCCCGACAGAGGCAAGGTGGTGTGCTGGATTGACAGGTGAGGGGTGAGGAGCTGCTGGGCTTGTAAGATGGGTGGTGCTGGTTTTGGGAGGGCCGTGGGTGCAGGAATGGGAGCTGGGGCATCCTCGTCAATGTCTTGCTCAAAGTTTTCTTCTCCTTCTGTAGACCAAAGAGGAAACTGTTAGTTATTATGATATGATCCAAGAAACAGAACCATTTGTATTTAACCCCTACTTACTCCCACATGCCTCCCCTAAAATAGCTGTTGTTGTGATTAGTCCTGTATCAGGTATGCAGGTTATATATAATGTACGCCGGGGAGCTGCTGCATCTCATCCCTGTACCTGAGGCCGTGGACGTGGAAGCCTGGTCGTCCTCTGGCTGGATGGTCTGTCGGAGGACTCTGTCGATTTCAATGACATCCATGCACTGGCTGAGCTCGTTCTTCAGGTCAGCCAGCCGCTGCTGCGTTGCGATCTTCTCTCTGGCCAAACGCTCCATCTCATGCTCATACTCCTTCTCCTTCCGCTTCAGAGTCTTCAGGGGGAGACAGAGAAAGCAGAGCAGATGAGGATCGCTAGTACACATAAAAACACTTCTGCAGAGTTGCTGCAAAGTTGACATATGCACTGTTAAAATTTCAAATAAAAGCTTGCACAAAAGTCATTTCATACTCAAGAGCTTCTCTAACAAACCTCTCACTCACTTCATTGGTTCTGATCAATACCGCTTTGTTGTTTTCCCCCTCCTCAGTGTTAAGTTGCTGTTAAAGAAGGTCTAAACTTCCAGCAGAAGTTTTCAATAAAAGCCTCTGAGGGATGGGATTATTCCCCCTGGCATAATGAAAATGTGTTAATATGAAACCGATGGAGGAAGTATTGAGTTTGCATTACACCAGCAACAGCAAATTCACAAGGCAAAAGGTAGCAAATCATAAAAAGACAAACATCTTAATAAAGTAATGACATTCACTTTTAAAAAACAACAAATAAAAGACCCAGGCCACTATCTGACAATAGCTCATATGCACAAGCTGTAAAGCTAGAACTAGTTTTAAATAATCTACTGTTCAAACAACTGACAAGCAATTACTTCCAACTACCAACTTTCTTTCTCTGTACACTCTTCACCACTCCCACATTTCTCCAAGCTTGCACACTCCTAAGCACAATGTTCTCCGTGCTATCCCCGTTTCAAACGCCAACAGGAAGACACGCATGCAAATACAAGCATGTTCACACTGCTTTTGTTGGTGTCATCTACTTCAGCTCCTCCCATTTCCTGCGTGCCATGCTTGTTTTTCGAGAGAACAGGGTCAGAGTGGGAGCAAAAGTCATGCCATGTTCTATTTCCACCAATCACTCAGGTTCATCATCTCACCAAATAAGATGTCACTGGATTACTGCAGCCTGAACATTTGTCAGATATGACTGATTGAAGGTATTAATTCCTAACACGGCACTGTCATGCGCTGAGTAGTAAGCCACATATGTGTTTGTAGATTTACAAATGAAATGAGGAAGATAAAAACAGCAAGAGAAACAAAAAGAAACTTTCCACGACCCAACATGGTGTCTCTGTGACCCAGTTTGTGTGTGGGTCAGCTGACGCATGAACACCAAGCAGTACAACCGGCTAAGAACATTAACACAGATTACCAGGGAGGAATGAGGGAGAGGGGGAGGAGGTGGTAAAGGAAAGAGCTAAGGGATTATTTGTTGGTAAACAGATCAACCAGTCAAATGCTGGTAAATTTCTGCTGTGTGCAGTGGTTACTTTCATTATATTACTGGAAACTAAATATCCAGTTGACTTGTTGATTAGTCAACATGAAATATGAAATAATAGACCTGACAGAAAACAGTTTCCTGTCTTACTGGTATAACCACAAAAGAGAAATAAGAAAGGAACTACAAAAGAGAGTACAGAAAATATGCACATGGGGACACATGATCATACTACAGGACACTCACTTCAGTGAGAAAAGCGGTTTACTCTCCGCAGGCAAATGATGGCCTCACATGCAAGCCAACTTTGCTGTGAATTAGAACTCCCGTTCTAATTAACAGCCCTCTTTGCAAAAGCTACCCGTCCAGACTTGATGAACTTTGCCTTCTTATAACAGCTCTTATCCTCCCCTTGATGTGCTTCCACACATGCAGCCTTTTCCCCATAATTGTAGGGGAAGTTTTTACAGGTTTTGAGTAAAGAGGAGGTGGTTTTGGAAATGACAGCAAATCAGATCAAGACCTTGTAACATTTCTAAAAATTATGTCCCAAAAGTCCTAAAATCTGATAACAGAGTTAAACAATATGGGTGGTTCTACATTAATGGTGAGTTTCTGTCTTTAACAAGAGGCAAACTCTGGCTCTCAAGACTGAAGTTAATGCGGAAGTAACTTAAACCTGCATTCTCTCTGACGGCCAGCAGGGGCCAACTCCACTCATTGCAAACAGAAGTCTAGTTCATCAGAAATAATCGTAAGTAAACACTTTCCTAATGAGTTTAGGGTCACAGTCACTAGTTTCAAGTCTCAGCAGGATGTTCATTTAGTATTTTATGGTCCAATTTAGAGGAAAACAAACGTAGGCCTGCACTAAAGCAGCGTATGCTTTAGGGCAGGCCTACCTTGTGATTGACATGTCGCTACCATTGCAACCTCTCAATCAGGATAGAGTGACTGGCATCCACTGCACTGTGTACATTTAACCAGTGCCATTAAAAAAAGCTTATTAGAAGTCGGCTGTTAATTTTTTCAGCAAGTACATTTTGTTTTAAGCCTGTTTTTAGCTAGACAATATTAGCATCCTGGTTAAAATCCTAGTTAACGTGAATTATGGATGCACCTAGATAAGCAAGCTTGTCAGTGCCACCAAATTTGGTGTTGTGACGCAAAGAAAATCACATGGCGGCGGGCAAACTCAAGGCTTCAAAAAGGCAGTTCATAAACCAATGGGTGACATCACGACGACTACATCCACTTCCTTTATACGGTCTATGGTCTTTACTAGAAAAGTTGTCTAACTATAATATGTCTAACTATAACTTGCTGTATGCATCTTAGGGTTGTGCCCCCCCGTCCGTCCGTCCATTCATTCCCATGTTTCATTTTAGACATCATCCCGATGGCAATTTCGTAGACATCGCCCAACCCTAATATGCACCCTCACTGAATATACTGATTTGACAAGACAAAGGGTGACACTACTGACACACATACAGTCACACAAACTACAGACATTCTGTGAAACACAAAACATTATCTAGCACAAGCTGGCTGCAAACTGCTTATGTATATGTGCATCAATATCACTTCAAGGTCTTCCCATACAACCCCAGACACCATTAGGCCTGCAACAAATCACCAAGGAAACAGCTGTTACCCATAGCAGTTTCCTTGGCAACCTCATCCGTGAGGATTTGGCTGCTTGAGCAGCAGTTTGAGTAACACACGAGGAGCTATCTTATTGGGTGAGCATAGGGGTAATTACATATATGGAGTGATGTGACTGGAATGGTTTGCCAGTCGGATGCTTCAGATCAATCCCTACCCCCTCCGCCATCCCACACGCCGGCTCCTTATACCCACCCCCCCCATCCATCACTCCCTTGACGCCCTTCCCCCCCTTTTCCCCTCCTCCTCCTCCTCCTCCACTGCTTCATCTATGCCTCCTTTATACTTTCTCTTGCGTCTGTCTTAGGCTTAATCGCACATGCATCTGTGTAGACGTGTGATCTTCACATGGGTTGATTAGAAGACAAGAAATTTCAGATAGGAGTGACTGAGGCCCCTCAAAGCTCACGTCGGTGCTCCATCATCCATAACCATTTATAAAAGACCAATATAACCAGAATTAGATTGGTTTAGTCTTTACATCATAAACACACACTCTCCCCTGCAGACAAACATGGAGGAATGGACCGACTACAGTGCCGGGGCCACCTGCCGCCCGTTGCTATGGTTACAAAGCATTCTAGAGACAGCATGGGGGACAGAGGACGAGACGGACTGAGATGAGAAGAAAATGGTTGACAGACAAGGATTAAAAGACAAAGAAAATCTGATGCAACTGTTGCAAAGCTGTACCCGTTATAACCATGGAAACACAGCAGTACCTCGTACCTTACCCCCCCCGCGTGCAATCTAGCGGTGCAGAGCAGACCACAGTGAGCCACAGTGACGTCACCAGGCTTGCGCTAGCCATGTGCTCGGATCTCACGTGGCTTGGGGAGAGGGGAGGGAGACTGAGGTTTACAGGTTTACATGAGGAGGGATACAGAGAAAGAAGGTGGAGGCCAGTCACTCGTCTAGAATAAAAACCTACTGATTATATTATAGATATATAAAAGGAGAAGGTGCTATAACGGGAGTAGGGGCTGGACACTTAGCTTTCATTTCTAACTGAATTTAATAAAGTTTGGAGATAGTGCAGCTGTGTTGGGTTGCCTTGGTAAATGGAAAATAATTCAATATTGTTGTTATGGACTTGTTATGTAGAATCATATTGTGTTGATAACAAATTTAAGACTCCAGGTTAATTGTGCTTTATCACAAACACAAAAGGTATCTTCATTTAGGTTTTACACGTGTTATGTCAAATGTGATGCACAGGAGTGAGACAATTCATTGGGTTTAACCATTTTAATCATTTTCTGTGATTTTCCAGATATTAGCCACGTCTTGATATTGGAAAATATTCCTATTAATTTTCTAATATTCTTTACACCCATATTGCCAGATTAACAGTGTGGACTCAGGGAAACGCTGTAAGCAAGAACCATCTCTAGGTAGCTGTGTGGCTACTAGGGCTTCAACTACTGAATAGTTGTACTATTGATTATACTGCTGATTACATTTTCAATAATCAACATTTTTTTGTCTATAAAAAAAACAGAAAATTGCCGAAAGTGTCCTTGACAAATTCCAAAGGAAACATTTATATTGCTTTGTACAAGTCAAAAATGCCACAATATTCAATTTACATTATCATAAAATAGAGAAAAGCAGCAAATCCTCACATCTAGGTAGCTTGAACTGTGAATTTTAATATAATCTCAACTTTGTTTGATTAACTTAATTAATTTGTGAATGAACTTTCTGTTTAATGACTAAATGATTCATTGGCTGTTTCAGCACTGGTATTTACTACCATTATACTGTTGGCATTTGTTTTTATGAATGTAATGAACTGTCCTCTGTACATTACTTTTAAAACATGAAAACTTTACGTCAGCTGTGCAGTATGTACATATATCCTCACCAGCAGCTTGGCTCTGCCTCGTATCAAAACCATCATCATCTCCTGTCAAAGACGGCCTTAAATCACTCTGTGTTGTGCTCCCTGAAGGCTGGCCCAAGATCTTGCAGCCAGTCTTGTTTTGAACAAAGTTCTTCAATCTCACGGCCTAATTTAGCTCCTTCCACTGAACTAAAAGTCATGACGCTTCAACCCCACAAAAAAGGAACCACTGCATCTAGCTCCAGACTGTCACCGTGCAGAAATCCTCCCTCGTCTACCTTTGCAGACTGAAAACTCACCTCTTCAGGCTATACAGTCCCCTCTCCCACACTGCTCCCAGCTCCATCCATCCAGATGCAATGTTAGTTTTCTACACAGGTACAAATATTTCCCCAAACATTAGATTTACTTACCACTTTCTTACCATTATTTAGCAGATGCCATATCATAGTCACAAGGGACTTACCAACACAAACGGCTTAATGGCCAACAAAACAGGCATTGCATGTCAATTACACTGGACCAAAGCCTGTGCTGTTCCCAAAGCTAACACAACCAATTCAAGACTGGAAAAGGATGGGAAACAAGAAGGGACTGGCACCCAAAATACTGTGTCAGACCACACAAGTAAGTAAAAGCCCACAGCTTCGCCTTTCTGGGAAAGCTGAGAAAATGTACTCAAACTCTACCTGTATGTAACGCAAAGCGCTGCGGAGAACGCTGAGGTTGGAGGTTTTCTTCTCATCAACATTTGGAACGTTCTTCTTCAGCGTCTCAAAACACTCTTTGAGGTGCGCTCGCCTGAAGGGCCAAGAGTCAGAAACGAGAAAGAGTCATTAGCTTACTGCGAAGAATATTCACCATTTATTAATAAGTTGATCATCTGCTTGACACCTCCTAACTCCAATGCCTGAGAAAGAGTTCATGGTTCTGTATAGGATGAGGAACTGTCATGACCTTTGAGCTGTTGGAACTCTTTCATAACACTTGATAAACACAAAAATGTGTGTGTAGGTGGTCAAGCTAAGATTCATTCCCGGGGAGTTAACACCAACTGCAAAGACAAGAAGTTTACACATTATGATGACTAACCTGTTCTTCTCCAGTTTATTATGCACCTCTCTGGTCCCCGCTCTGGAAACACAAAATAAATGATCAAATACAACCATAAACCCAAAATCTAAACCCTTATATCAACTTTAAAATACACAGACTGACCCTCCTGGTCGCCGCTTCCCATCCATCGCTCTCATGTCCTCCAACGACACTCCATTAGGCCGCAGCTGAGATATGGGTGGAGCTTGATGGGGAATCAGTGCATGGTGAGAGCCAGTGCCATTAGTGCTGATGGAAGCTGGGTACTGAATATGCACCTGAGGCTGTGATTGGCTGGGCTTTACACCAACCAGCTGTGGAATAGTCTCTGCCTTCATCTGGGGGGCACACAACAGGTGAGGAGAGGTTGGCTGCTGCTGCTGCTGTGGAGGGGATGAAGCGCTCTTGGCTGGAGGGGAGCTGTTGAGCGACATTGCTGCTGCTGCAATTGGCGTTGTGAGCGGAAGGGGCGGGACCGAGGGTGTCGCAGTGACGACTGGGACCATTGGGATGACAGCAATTGGGACTTGAGGAGGCGGGAGAGATGGGGGAGGAGGGGCAGGAGGGCGATGTGGCTGTTGGCGGTCATCGGCCCACGTGATGTGGTTGGTTCTGACTGGCTGTGACGACGAGGTCACAAGTTCTGCAAGTCTCGACTCCGCCTCCCTGTTGATGAGCTCCTTCTCTTTGCGCTGCTCTTCCTCTGTAGGAGGGGAAGGGGAGAAGACGCACGAAGGAGTAAGCAAAGGAAATGTCAGGAGAGTCATACACTGAAGTAGGGCTGGGCAATAAAACAATAATGATAATTATAACAATATAATTTTCTTCAATAACAATTAAACAAATGGTCAATAAATATTTCATTTAATTAATTTGAATCATGAACGAATCAGCACTTATCTTAATAGAAAATATATTATATTTATTTTTTGAGGAAAATATCAGCCTTTAAACTTAAAAGAAATAAAGATTTAATATTTATTGTGATAATTATCGATTAATATCGATATTGACATTTTTTATCGTGATAATATTTTTGACCTTATCGCCCAGCCCAACAGTGAACAGAACATTGGACAACCGGCAAACAGTGGTTAAACCTGCCTTTTGTGCCCTAACACACAGTATGTGACAACACTGATGCACATCTGACACATCTGTACTGAATGTAGATAATGCTCCACTTCCAGTTTGAAAACCATTAATTTCAACCAACATCCAAGCAAAGACACAAGTTTCGATTCAGGTAATCTTAGCTGTTTCATTGTTGTGCCACAGATCACTTGGTCACATCTCAACACACACAAAGAATGATGTCATCAGGGTATCAGAACCAAGGCAGGGGGAAATAACCACAGAAATTGTTTCTGCATATGTTTCCTGACTGGAGAGCGCTCTCCCCCTCTGTCTGCCCTGTTATTGGACCGCTCCAGCACTGAGCATGCTTCCACCCCCCGTGCTACGTCAGGGCCGTCGGACCAACAGCAGCAGACTGTAGTTGTCAAAGAGTCCTTCTGCTGGGTGAAGTAGAGTTGGCACCATGACAACAAATAAATAAAGCATTGTGGTAACGCAAAAATTAAAAAAGAAAAGAAGTACATTCAAAAGTCACATCGCAGGACGGGAATGTTCCCACGCCATGCTCATGTCAAGTATGCAGAGGTGTAAACACACACACACACACACTTAATGATGTGAGTGAGTGGTTTTTGCACACCGTAGGACTCAAAGCACCGTGGAAAGCCCTTGGTTACCATGGAAACAGCAACATTAGAAACAGAAGATCCCAGGGATTCCTCAAACACACGCAACACCGACACACAGCCCCAGCCATCTCCCACCATTATAAAACAAAATAGAAACACTGCACGCCAACATGCCTGGCTGCGCGTTAACTTCGCCACATGAAACCCCACGATGATGCAATTTCCTTCCACCGTAGGGCAATAGTTCACCCCAGAGACGGCCTGCACAATTACACACCGTTATCATGATGATATGCACAACAATGCTACTTCTCTGCACTTCTGGAATCGTACATTCTTTCATTTGTGTCATTTGGCAACAGTCAAAATTAAGATGCTATTAATAGTGCCACCTCAGAGTAACACTGTTCAATTATTTATGTGTTCACATCTCTTCTAACCCCTGCTGAGCAGCGGAAGACAAACACACAATGCCATTTTTCTGCGAGCATTATGCTTTAAATAGGACTGGATGAGCTCTCACATTATCTGGAGTTGATCGACAATAAATTAATCTGCAATGGTTTTTATAGTTGTTTCAGTCATTCTACAAAAAACCTGCCATAATCGGTCGGTGGTTTCAGATTCTCCAGTGTAAGTATGTGTTTCTTTTCTCTGACATATATGCTAACCAACTGGACATTACAGGATTAGATTAAATTAGTTGCAGCCCAAATAGCATCATACCAATTTTTTATTATTTTATCTAGTTTCTGAGACAGAAACTAATATAGTTTATTAAAGTGCTTTACAATTATGAACAGTTTGGACTCCAGTAATGTAAAAGGTGGTTAGGTGGAGGTTAGATTTTACATGCATTTGCCATATGCATGTTATACATCGATATTGGACCTAGGAGCAAACTGCATAAGCAAAACACAGCATCTTGTTTAACAATAAATTTTACCCCCGTTTGCTAATATGACACATAATAAAATGATCCTTGAAGATAGCACAGACGTTGACATTAGCTGACAGTATAATACTGACATATCCAACATGGCTTATCTTGCTTTTGTAGTACAAGCCACACAAATACACCATGCTCCAGATTGTCAAGTGCACGCAAAAGTAAATTACATAACTTCTGCATTGGGAGAGGCTGGGCTGGGGAGGTGGGCAGGGAGGTTGCCCTACTTTCCCCCCTTTCTCTCTCTCTGACCGCCACTGTCATTAGGCTGAATGGGAAGGGTGGGGACGAGGAGTGCGTGTGTGCGCTTGGTGTGTATCTACAGGAGGAGGGGGCAGTGTGCACGTGGTCGGTGTGGGCGGATACAAGCGCGCGTAGGGTAAGTATGCGGGGGGGGCTTGATTTGTCTGACACGTCATCAGAGGGGAGAAACACAAAAAGCAGTCCCCCTTTATCAAGTCAGTGATAATTATGCATGTCGATTGAGAACTCGTCATGTTTCAAACAAGCAGGAGAGATACAAACAAATATTGTATATGCTCGCGCGCAATTATACAAATGGGACGGGGTGAGCGCGTGAGTGCCCGCCCCTGTGTGTGTCATAAGATAGCTGAGCAATGTCAGGGTATTATGTAAAGAGCAGCCTCTGCTCGCCACCGCCCTGCCGGCGCTCGACGGCCAAAAAAATGGGACAAATCGATTCTGAGGAGGCTCATTTTCAACGACCTCCGTTGAAAATGATCAATATTTATCCGCCAGATTTAACATAATGTCTTACATGTATGCTATTTTACATGTACATACACTGCACCGTCTACAGCTATTTCCTTCGTTACAAGCATAGAATACATAAATGGACCACGGTTATTGACAGGAACTCCTCCGCTATGTCTTTCTCACACACAAGCGCGCGCGTGCGGTGAGTCACTTCAGTGTGGTGTTCACACACACACACACACACGGAGCGCGCAAAGTACTTCGGAAAACAACTTTGACCGTTTCCGCATTAAGGGAAGACAAATGTGTCCAATAGTTAACCACTCGGGAATTGCGGATAGTTTGCAGTGACTTCAGCCTTTTTTTTCTTGGCATGAACCCAGGGAGACAGACTACAAACGCTTCCGTTCACCATAGGCGGGTCAGTTGAAAATGCAAGCCCCGCCGTTGATAGTAACACTGATACGGTCCCCCAAAAGGCAGTTTAGGATGTAGCACCCGCTGTTATTTGGTGTCATGCACGTTCAGAGCGATGCGCCAGTCTGCTGTTTAACTTACCACGTGTGGTCTGTTGTTGCTGGGCTTGCCATTCCAGATATCTGGCCGCCTCCAAAAGTGTATCGATGCTCATTGCGCGTAAAACCCTCACGGCAGGCGACCCGGTGGCCCGGGACGGAATGACGAAAAAGACCGAGGGGGTAGGTAGTAGTGTCCCGGTAGGAAGCTCCGTGTGCACGGTTCACACCCGCACGCCCGAGCTTTCCGTCCCCTGTGTTTCTCCTGAAAGCGGATTCTTAATCCGGCCGAACGGAAAGTAGTTCCTCGCGTAAGTAAAAAAAAATAGGATTGCAACAAGATGGCGATGCGAGCACGGGAATACACACAACAAGGCGAGTCGTGTTCTCGTTAAGGCCCGCCCACCCGGATTCCTGTCCCGCCCTGTTACTACGGCCTCCGACAAAACCCGGAGACCGCAGCACTCCCTCCTACTCCGCGCTGTCACTCTTGGCAACCGTTAACGACCCCCCACCCCCCGAAAAATCACAACACTGACTCTACAATTATCACAACCTCTGCTTTAAAGCTCCTGGGATCACGGGCTCCCGGTGCTCACGGGTATTTCTCCGGGATTCGAGAAAGGGAAGTCCCGCGGATGTCAGCAGTCCTCCGTGTTTTCGTTCCCGCACTTGGCCCGCAACGCATGAAGAACAATCGGGCGCAAGCGAGCCAATCAGCGCTCAGAACAACAAGGCATGGTGCTGGTCCACATGGGCACCCGCCCGGCCCGAGCGCTGCTCATTTGCATGGCGAGAGCGTGACTGGCCACCCTGCTGTCTCGGGATCAGACCTGTCAATCAAACGACGAGGGGCGGGTCTTACTATTGTATGAGAGTGAATAATGAGGAGAAGCTACTGACCAACATGTACGATTATTATTATTATTTTGTAGGTTAATGCTCAAATCGTAACCATTATAACAAAAGTGAATCCTGAGGAGGATCTATTTTACTCTATCGGTACTGCATTATTACATTTAAAATGGTGTGTGTGGGGTAATGGCAAGAATTTAATTTATTAAATAGTGTATAGATATCCAAGATAATGTGTATTGGAAGCACATATTTTGAGATTAACAACTATTATGTTATATATAGGCTACTGTCATTTACAAAATACAAGTAGATTGTTTAATCTCACACCCACCATTTCTGTCTCACACATTGAGATATATATCTATATATCTATCCCATCATCAACACTCACAAAGGAACAACTCCTAGCTCAGTGTTCTAACATCTGCAAACGGCAATTCCTATAACCACTACAGACTGATGAGGTACAACAAATATGCTATGGCAAGGGGGAGCCAGGACGACAGGTCAGCAGGGAGATGTTATCATTATCATCCCCACACTCAGATATTGGGTCCCAAGCTCCAATAACAACAAGCCCTTACGGCAAAGAATCACTCAACATAAGGGCGACTGACCTACGATTGAAGATCATAACCAAGCTGGACCCCCAAGTACAATGACCAAGATTGCCAAGGCTAAGCGACAAGGTACCCTCTGAAAGTCTGGTAGAAGATGTGAATGCAGCACTACATACTATCCCTACTAAAGCCATAATCGAGACCAATGAGCTGATGTATGCCACAGCAACAGTGATCCTAGAGATACTTGGCTTTAAGATGAACACCACAAGCGACAAAGAGCATTACCCCCCATGGAGGAGAAGGCTAGAGGCCAAGATCAAGGCAACACAAAGAGAGTTTAGACAGCTCCCAGAGCTACAGAAAGGTGCAAGGAAAGGGCTACCTAAGAAATACAACAAGCTGTTGATACATGAGGCTCTGGAGACAGCCAATCAAAGACTTACCGCTCTGGCTATATATTCAGTGTTGTGAACAATAGTTTATGTTACAGTAGTGTGTTTGTCTATATACTGTCTACAGATGTATGTATGTAGTCTACGTATGGTTGCGTAGTAACAGTCTTTCATTGAGCACCACACAGTCGTATATATACTCCATTGCATCACAAGGTCTTAGCGTCTCAGCCAATCAAATCAGCTGCCCAGAAGTATATTAGAGCTGCCTTCACCACGCCATGTGCCCTGCCTGCACATACAAACCTACTAACACCATTACTACTTGAAAAACACTGAAACTCAAGATATAAAGAAACAAATGTAAGTGACTGTCTGTGAGGGGGTGGGGGTCATTTAGCAACAGGCTGAGACACCATGACAGGATGCATGGCAGAAAATGAATCAGGCAGAAAAAGGGGGAGGAGGGAAAGAACAGGGAGGAGGGAGCACATGGTAAGCACATGAGCTAAATGGGAAAAAAAAAATGCATGTATGCATATACAGAGGGAAAAGGGGAGGTGGAGTAGGAGATGGCTTGGAGAAATGTGAGGCAGGGAAGGGCTGACCCAGTTAGAAGTGCTGCATCACTAGTAGTTCCACAGAGCAGAGGAAAGAGGAAGCAATGGCATACAGGAGACTTGAACAGAGAAAGTGTTCAAAGATCAAGTGGAGTCACAGACATGAGGGGCAAAATAATAAGAATACGTTTATTGTTTGACTTGAAACTTGTAGATTTGTTGCTTGCATGTGATGAATGTGCAAAAAAATGGTTCTAACATTTCCGACACACAAAATAGGAAGGAACAAAAATTTACTTCACAATCAAAACCCCAAACCTACTTATAACCCTAACCATTTCTAATACCCCACATGTACACTTAACTTAATGTCAAAGGATGTGAAACATCTTATAGACTGACAACATCAGTTAAAATGTGGTATATATTATCTCCACTAGCTTATTTCTTGGGTCATTTTTTTCTTTTGACAAGTTGAACATGTAAACTTCTTGGATATCTACACATGGTCAGATCTTCAGATCTGATTGAGGTTTGTGTTGAAAACTTTACGTTCACTCTGATTAAGTAATCAAAAAAACATCTTCTTAACCTGACCACAACTCCAGTTACATCCCCATTCACGGACTTTGGAAAGCATGCCTGAGTCAAACAAAAATGTCTTCACTTTGAAGGGTTTTCTTGATCTTACGGTCATTGTGAAGACATAATAAAAATAAAAATAATAATTCACCAAATTCAACACCGCCCCCACCCCCGAGATGTTCAGGGTTATTATCTGTTCCATGACATCCATGTGACCACTGCTCACTTGAACACAGTGCATGGAAGCGTTTTTTTTCCTTAAAGGGACATTGGACCTCTTCATACATGCTACCACTGGAGGGCGCCACATCCTGTAACCTACCTTATCCAAAGCTGTTCCAAACCTCCCCATCGTCCTCCTCAGGCTTTGCAGGGATTAGAACACTGCTCACGTAAACTGTGGTGGGACTCATGTAAGCTATACTGGGATGACACACAAACCTATATATTTACACAGACCCTGCAGCTGTCTGCACACTTTTAACTACTAGCATCTGTTTGCATATGATCATTAAGGAAAAGTCAGCCTGCTACTATGCGACACTGTTCAATCCTCTCCTAGAGAATCCATACTGCTGCATCTGAAAGAGAAAGGTCTGGTGTATCCCCTGACCTTGAAACCTCTCAACACTTTCATATCATGCCAGCTTATCTAAATCAATACCTCTTTGCAGGTCCTTCTTTCACTTTCTCTCTTGCCATAAATCTATATCAACAGTTCTGTCAGAGGGAGAGAAATGGGTCACTTAGAAGCATTATGAATTAGAAAGTGAGCTTCTTCTGCCTTGTTTTGATGTCTTAAAGCTTGCATGAGGCGGAAAGTGTGAGAGATGTGCCGGGCGGATGTAGGCCAATGTTTCTACTCCGGTGGCTCTGTTGAGAAACAGGAGTTTCAGACTTGAGACAGGTTTATTTTCCTTTCATTAAGACCCACTTTTCACTTCTCTGCGTACACGTCTAGCTCACCAGTTTCAGTCCACCATACTGTGTTCCCATTGTCGGTGTCCCTTTACTATGTGAACCTTGTGCTGCAATAACTTATTGGCATCTGCATTTGTCCTTGTGCTTTACTCCTCCACCTCCTGTTTATCCACCCTGACAAACCTGCAGGACAGAGCAAGGTGTGGTTGCTTGCACACTTGCCATCCAGGCAACTGTTGCCAGGATACTGCAGAGCTCGGAGAAAGAGTAATTGCTGTGTGGGTGAGTGAGCAGGTGTGTGCGAGAGAGCACGGGAGTAGGCTGGGGTACAGTACATAATTGATAAGGGAGCCTGAACTGTCCCTGCTTCCTCCTGATGTCTTTGCCACTCCAGTCTGAGCTGGCAATGTAACTGGAGCTGTACCTGAGGAATAAACGTCAGACGTTATCATACTGTTATCTCGACATCACACTGACAGTCTTTAAGTCTTAGTACCACATCCTCGCCATCTCAGTTTTCATTAAAACAAACTACTAGGTCAAGGACTGATCTGTTCCTCTTCAATCTGCATCTCCAACAGCATTGACAAGGCAGCATCTGACCCCTGCTCAGATGAAGGTTGCCTTAAGAGACCATAGCGTAGCACCAGACCTACATCTGTGCACCAGAGCCAGATAGTTATACATAAATAATATTGACTGTCTAGAGCAGTAGTTCTCCAGTTTGTCTAGTGACCCATTTCTTGCCAAATGCTTCACTCTGATGATTTCAAGTTATCAGACCGACATTTTTTATTATTATTTTTTAAACATTTCATATTGTGGGCCACACACTGTCATTGGTCTCCACGTCACAAAATATTTACCCGATTTGAACCAAACTATATTTTCCAAATGACAAAATTCTGTATTATCAGCTGTCACAGCACCACATTCAAAAAGGTATACACGTTGACACTCATTAAATGGTTGTGAATACTCTTACAGCCAAGACAAAAACCTGAACTAATCCTGCATCTAAAACCAGTTCCAACTTACGTTAATACAACGGTTCTCAAACTGGCGGTGGGGGACGTAGAGCCACTTCAGGGGGGTCATGGATGTTGAGCGGACCTAAACTTGCATGAGTATGATTCATGTGGTGACATAAACAAACAAAAGTGCTCTGATGCTAGCGAGGCTATTTTGCTAACTTGAATCTTGTTCATTTCAAGAATTGTATTGTATTGTTGATGATTAATAAAAATGATATCCACTTTTGCTGGGGTGGAGGGGCATGAACTGTTTTTTTGGTTTTTGAAGGGGGGCGTGACAAAAAAAGTTTGAGAACCACTGCGTTAATGACAAGTGCATGAGTACCAAGCAAAAATAATCAGGGCAGCATTTAAATGATGCCAAATTAGAATAAAGTGTATTTCAAAAGTTGAGAAGCTCCCTTACTTTGACATGCATACAGCACAACACAGCAGGCCTGACTGTTGTGCCACTCTGTTCACAGCTGCCCCTGCCAAGCACAAGTATATTAATGTAGAATGGATGGTGTGCTGCAGTATCTGACCTTACTATGAAACTTTGCAGTGGTAAATCCTGTCTGACTGCGAGGAGCTTTCCTTCATCTCATTTCCTCAAAGAAAGCACACAAATATAACTTATATTTACAGAATTTTATTTCATTATGTTGCAAACAATGACATCCAGATATATTGATACACAATTCTTACTGTGCGTGTATGTGCATTTGTGAGTGTGTGTGCATGTGTGTGTAAAGAGAGCAGTGAGACCACAGAAAGCAGAATGAAAATCCCGTGTGAGGGAGCCCTCAATGGGTTAACAAGGCAGAGATAGTGAGCAAGAGGGCACCGGGCGATTCTCTGGGCTGACATACACACACACACAAACCTCATAAAAAGGTGAGCTGACTTTTTCCTCTGTAAAACACACTTTTTGCTATGGGGTGTGTGCCTGTGCTCCTCAGCAGCTTAGGGATCGTTAAGGTCCTGTGAGTGTCTACTAGAAAGCAAGTTTGCTAAAAGAAATGAAGTAGTATGAATAAACACAGTGGGTGAGAAGCTTTGCCTCCTCTCTCTCCATCAGAGCAGAGACGGCAGAGAGATTCTCCTGTCATAATATACAAACACACACACACACTATGTATACACACATGTACACGTGCACTCGCCCGCAGAACCTTGTGCGATTCGACTAGATAGCTGCAGCCTGCTTAATTTCTTTCTTCAACTTATCTTCTCCTGGACAGCTTCCATTCATTCTCTTTCTTGTATGCTTACTTTCCTCACACTTTTCTTTATCACCATCCACACAGTGACAGACCACAAGAATAGAGGCATGGAGTAAAACAAAACAAAGCCTAAACCCCTCCAGCAAGGGGTGCAGTCAGTCCGTTAACCAGAATCCACCTGCCAGCACACAAGGATATTTATCCTTTGACCCCACAGGAAGTCATGACAACAGTATGCAAATTCGGCAAATTTAACAGTATACAATTTTTTTTTGATTCACCATGCAAGGAATACTTCTTATCTTTTGAGTGTGTTTATGTGTCAGAGATTGCGTGACATTTATTAAGCGTACCCTACATCCAGAATAATTTACATAAAAAGGACAATAGTCATCTTAATAGGACTGGACTGATGGGGGGGGGGCATGGTCAACTATGGTTTGGAGTGCGAGAGGTGAAGGGCTGGGTGTCAGAACAGAAGGAATTGGGCTGAGGTGCAGGACATGGGTGGGGTAGGGTTGGGCTTTAGGGCTGCTTTTGGAGTTGGAGGGTGGGTGGGGGTGCAGGACAGGGCAAGAGATGGAGGCAGTCTCAGCGGCACTCCCAGACTTTGACTGTCTGATCGACACTGCCCGTCACCACATAGGGAGCAGTCTTGTGGAAATCTGCAAGAGAGGTAAACTTTTGTTAAGTACGCTGCATTAAAGATGGGCTAAATAATTTCAACAAGTTCATAGTGAGCATTCTAGCTTTGGTTTTAGTGTTAGATGTCTGAGAGGCAGGAGATGCAAAATGGATTCTGTTAATAACTGTGTCTTACCCAGTGAGGTAACAAAGTGTTCATGGGCACACAGGGTCTTCATGCAGCGTTTGTTCTTGTAGTCCCAGATCCTAATGGTTTTGTCGTCAGCACAGCTCACTATGAATCGTCCTCCAGGATGAACCAATATCCCACGCACCCAGTTGTCATGTCCCACCTGAAGAAACCAGACAGATTACCCACCGCTCCAATCATTTATAAGCACTAACACTGAAGACAGTCATAGAAACAATCACTCACCAGAGTCATAAGGCAGATGCCAATGCTGACATCCCACATCTTAATTGTTTTATCTCTGGATCCAGAGAGAAGGAAGGGGCCAGGTTTTCCACTCTTCTTGCTCTGCAAAACAGAGATACAGGGAAGATGTAAGAAACAGCGAGGCCTCACGGAAATAATAACTCTTCTGTTTTATATTACAGTTTTACTTAATAACAGCGCATTGAGATCTTACGCGGCAGTCATTATTTCAGTGCAGACTGTTCATCACTGCTATAAACAAATATGGGAAACAATGCAGCTGGACCAAAGATACACAAACATCCTGTTTAGGTAAAGGTCAGATCCTGCAGCAGCTGTACATACCTCGGAGCCTGTGGCCTCCAGGATGGTGGGGTGAGCACTGTCAGGGGCCCAGGCGATACACTCTACCACGTGTTCATGCTCCCGCAACTCAGCTTTACACTCCTTGGAGGCGGTCACCCAGACACGCACCGTCTGGTCGTTGGAGCAGCTGGCGATCAACGATCCATCCTGGTTGGGGCGCACCATCCTCACCCACTCCCTGTGGCCTGTAAATGTCTTCACACAGTACCTGTAGATTGAAATAGTGATAACAAAAAACTTTATTATGATATAACAGCATTTAGCATCAAGTAAAGTAGTAAACTATGCAATATTATCAGGGATACAATTAAGCTCATGGGAAAGAAGAATGAAAAAATATATACCGGTGTATGAAAAACTATGCTCACAATCTGAAAGTACATCTTAGTCTCTGAGAGCTTGTGGTGGGAAGACTAAACAAGCCCTCCCCTCACTTACCCAGTGGCCACTTCCCACATCTTGATGGTTTTGTCTCTGGAGGCAGACACTATGTGGTCCCCATTTGGCATGATGGCTACAGACGACACGTTGTGATCGTGACCTGGATGACACAGTCAAGAATTATGTTGAGTAACTGGTCTGAGTTCATCTTAATACAAAAACCACAAAGCCAGACGTGCCCAAAGTCAGTGTCCAAAAGCATTTAAGACATAAAGCTAGCCCTTCATTAGTTCATCAGTTTCTAAACCCCGAATCAGTGGTCATTCATATCACATGGTCTTATTGGGATAATGTTTGTCATGCTAACTTCTCGTACTCTGAACAAAGTTTATCTTTACTGATTTACAACCAAAATATTTGTAATATATATCTGCGTAACTACAAACATTACACCAAATCATACATTTTAACTGAGTAGTTAAGAAATTGTCATATGTCACTTTTGCACCACTTCTTCCCTGTACTGGAACCATTGTTATTTCTGTAAACGTCTCTTACCATGCATTGTTCGGATGCACTCAAACCCCTGGAAGTCCCAAAGTTTGATGCTCATGTCAGCTGAACATGAAGCCAGCAGTTTTCCTGTCTGGTCAAAGGAGATGTCCTGCACGGAGTCTGTGTGGCCCTTTAGGGTTCGCTCAAAGTCCCCTGCCTCGTAGTCCCACACCTAAAAATCACAGACGGCGATGGACACTTCAGTCTCACCTTGCCCAATTATCAAACACAAACTGTATGCATTACCTAAAAATATAATTTAACTCAGTCTAACAGCAGAAATCACTATATTGACATAACTGATGTCGAGGCATGCAAAATCAGAGATGGGTTTTCATAGCACAATCAACAGTCAGGTTAGATGTTTGTTGTAGATGTCTTTTGACATTAAACTCAAATTTGAATGTTGGAAATTATGCAGGTAGACATGTATGTTAAACTGTTTAAACTCAGTTTAAATGGCTGAGAATATCCTTATTGCTAAAATCAAGTTGTACACATTAAAAACAACCTGCCGACACTGTTTAATTAACAAAAAGGCTGAAAAAGAAAGAAGGGGATGGGTTGAAAGAGAAACAGATTTGCACGCTTCCCAAGGTGCTGTGCTCTGGGAGTGTTGCCTCTGACAACACGAGCATCAGCCCATCTCCACATAGATGAGCAGTGACAAAGCAGAAAAAAGAAACAGAGTGAGAAAGGAAGGGAGGGAGGGAGGGAGGAGGATAAAGGGCGGAGGCAGTGGGGGGAAAGCGTGTTGGAGCAGAAGCACTGAGGATAAAAAGGGAGAACAGCCTCAGATCTGCAGTACAGCTTTGATCTGAAGGGTCAGAGCTGCAGAGGCGATGTTGTGGTGCACTGCAACGCTCATTGTTTTTGCTTATAGATGCTACTGCACACAGCCATCACTACTTTAATATTCCTGCTACAGACATATTTTCAAGACACCTCAAACATATTACGTGTTTATTATGTGAACATAAGAAAAGTTGAAGGAGTCTCGACAGTTCCAGAGAGAACACATGGGACCTTAGGACTAAACTGATGCATAATACATTAGTGTGATAATGTTATTTCTTCACATTGATATGTCCCAGAATCATTTTCTTTAACGTTTTTTTTGCATTTTTAGGGCTGTCCCTTTAATTAGTTTCTTCAACTAGCCCAAATTACATAACTACCCAATATATCAATACCATTTCTCACAGTCTATTGTGATAATTTGTACAGAGTCTAATATAACAGCCCCACAATAAACCCCCTTGTTTGTTGAAACTGTGTATGAAAGGTATTAATGTAACTTCACGGGCATTATGGAGGCCGTAGTGATGCAGATTATATTGTATCCCTCACAGACCTCAGTCCTCAGTCCAAACTGAAATATAAGATCAAAAAACTGAGTATTTATGACAGAGCTGTTGTAACGGATTGCATCAGATGTAGTTAGCTGTACCTGATAACGTGGCAGCTCAGAGTGTACACCCCGTTTATTAAAAACATACACACCTTAATGGTAGCGTCCTCGGAGGCAGTGACCATGACGGAGAAGACGGGGTGGAATATGACACGAGTGACCGGAGCGCGGTGCCCACTCAAGGCGTATCGCTCCGGGGGACGGGGGATCCACTCCTTGGGGTCTCTCTTTTGACCCACAGGTCCTCCATGTGTCATCTCCTCCTTCGCCTCATTCAACTTTGACTCCAACTCCATCACCTGAGGCACAGCGTCGAGTCAAGGAGCAGAGGAGACTCATCAGCAAATGCTTATCCCAATAAAAACATTTATGTATATTATTTGATTTAGACACGTAACAATTAAATATCATCGTGCTGACCATCTGGTGGTTTAGATTGCTAAAAAGCTGAAATAAAGTTGTTTGTATTACAATTTTTCTTGGTTAGGTGAGGGAACATGGCCTCAAGGATTGAGATTTACATTACAATGATGTATTGTCCATGTCACGATAAGTACACTGCACGTCCACAGGATTAGTCTGCCTTACACATGTGACTTGTACAGCATGTCCGACTTGTACAGCATGTCCGACATCTCAGGAAAGCACACCACATTCCTTACCTTCTTCTGTAATCTGATGACTGAGGTCCACTTCTTTTCCAACAGCCCCGCATACTTTTTATCTCCCTCTTCATTCTGTAAATGGAGAAAAGACAAGATGCTGAGAAAGGGGACCCACATTCCTCTAAATAAACAAGAATCTACACATTTTTTTTGTCATTTGTCGTGCACCAGTCTCTCCTTACCATATCTAACTCTGCCTCTTTCTTGAAGGTGGAATAGGCCTCCTCGTATCCATTGGAACGGAGATAGTCGGCTATAGCCCGGTTTCTGTGAAGAAGCAAAATAAAACAGAAAAAGGTTTCAGGTGTTTCCACCAGTTCCACATTCCCTCCACACAGACGCTAGCATATACCCACTGCTATTAAGTGGTCAGTATCAGTGTAATTTCATATGATTTTGCCCAAAATTCTGCTAAAAGAATCAAGTCAAAGTGAGGTTGTCATTTCTTATGTCATTTCTTATATAAAGCTTCACCTTAACAGAAATGCTGGTTCCTCCTTAAAAGAGGGCAGGCCACACCCTGTCTTAACAGATTGGAGCAATGGGACTCAAGTTTCACAGTTCTGCCTTAAATGTCAGCAAATTTGAGTAAGCACTGCAAGACACTGCGATCCTTCAGTGAAGAAAACAAAACGTAAGGATCAAATCTCTGGGAAACTGTTTTGTGCTGCTATGGAAACCAGAGACTTCACAAAGGGTGAACACCGGGCACGGAAGACGCAAGGACAGGACAAGCACATGGAAACAACCCTAAAACCCACACATACAGACTTGCACACAAATACATGCAGACAGTTATATAAATCAGTGGAACAGCTCTTCTATGAGATGAAGGGTGAATATTTCATGAGCGATGGTGCTAAATGTAGGCTACAGCTTCCAGGCTGCTGCTAATAATTACCCTGATATAACAGTCTGTTAGACTTTGATCATAAGGCGATCACCGGCAGGGTTTCCACTAAATTCTCACAATAAAAATTGTTTATTAAACTCCCAACATAAACAGTAAAGATAGAAGAAATCTGATGTTTTGTGCTGTCTGGACTGGAATGTACTGAACTGGGATGCATACCGTATGATCAGCCAGGCAGATGTCACTGCACAGAGCTGCTCATATTAACCAGCCATCATTTTGTTAAGGTCCTCCTCCTTCCCCATCCCCCCTCACTTCTTTGCTCCTGTCATGTGGGTTATGAAATATTCACTAAGTAGCTATCAAGTGAAGCACCTTGAAGTCCACATTTCCACAATGATTACTCATTCTTATAAAAAGGAATGCACTCCCAACATCTGCATTAACCTCTTATGAATGATTTAGCCCAAACAGCTATGAATGATTTAGCCCAAACAGCTGAACATTTTCCACTGCAGTCTATGAAGAGAGGAAAACATGTAATGTATGTCTATAGTTGGAAAACTTCGAGGTATGCTTGCTAAAAAGCAAGCACGTGCGCCTCTTCATGAGCACTACAAGCGCGTTTGTCTACGTGGCTGTTCTTGTTTGCATGTGTAATGAGCCTGCACACCCACATATTTACATCCAGGCACTCACAGTTCATCTCTCTGTCTTTGTGACAGCACCATGGCGGCTGCTGTTCGCTCCCTCTTGGGGAGGTGAGGGTGAGGCGATGTGCTGGGGGAGTCTGGCTGGGAAGTGTGTGGTGGGGGTGTCCGATCTCTCTGTGACGCTCTTGTTTCGGAGACTCGGAGGTGGCGAAGAGAGTGCCACGCAGAGGGAGGTGGACCGGAGATACTGCTGTCAATCAACTGAGGACAAGGCTCCACGAGTATTTACTGGCCCAACTCTCAATCACCAATCAAACGTGCCCATCACCTGATCAAGAGAGAAGAAAAATCAGTATATTTGAAAGAAATGTTACAGCTGATCGTCAGTACATAAAAAATTTTATTTATTTTCTAGGTTTGACAGACAAATTAGTGAGTACAATCAGTTGAACCCATATAACTAGGTTCCAGGACAAGTGTTTGTTTTTTTGAGAAAAAGTTTTCCAATCTGCTCTTTAAAGTAAATATACTTTAGAAGAAGTAAAAACATACACTAGTTTGTGTGAATGAAGCACAGAGGCAAGACAATATAGAAGTACAACAACCTTTAACTAAACAATGCTGGGCAGTAGAGAAAAGGCCATCTTAGGGCTTCTTTGTCATCCTCCTCATTCATTGATGCATGTATCTTCAGAACACTCACTGCTGCTATAAACTTACATTACATCAATTTCCAAACCAAAAAAAAAAAAAAAAAAAAAAAAAGACTTGACTAGCAACTCTATCTCCTGCACATTTGATCTAGATCTCTGTTGCCTAAGCAAAGCATAATTTTTAAAAAGCTAGCAGCAGCTAGGGCTGAACAATTTTGAAAAAATATCTAACTGCAATTATTTTCACAGATGTTGCAATTGCGATATGATTTGCGATACTAGGGTGAATGAGAATTTTTACATCATTACTCTAATTTTCATTGAAAAACATTCAAATGAATTACGGTGTGATTTCTGCAGGAATCCGTACCAAACAAAAATGTTTTCTTAAGTCTCTAGAATATAATGTGTAGGCCAGGACATCTCTGCAGCACGACAGTATTTAATTTAAATTGGTATTTTGACACATATCACCTTTGCACCCCATGCAATTGGAAAATTGCAGTACACTATATTGCGATTTTGATAGAATTTCAATTAATTGTTCAGCCCTACTAGCAGCCGATTGTACTCATTTTACCTGAATGACTTTGTACCAATTATCTTATCGGTAATCTTTAGGATCCATCAAAACATTTCTTCTTGGTTATAGTTTTAAAATCAGAATTTTGGGGGGCAATGTGACCATCCCATTAGAAGAGCACAGATCAACAGCACACACAGACAAATCAAAAACACACCACTCAGGGATTGTGAAGCTAATAAGACTATTCCTGAGCTTCAACACCACTGGTATCTGGGGCCACAATAGCACTAAGCTGCTTACCATCTAGACCAGACAACCTAGAGTCTGTGTGTGTGTGTGTGTGTTTCTAAGTGATAGAGACCATAAGTTCTCCATACAGCTGACAGTGCAATGTAAAGAAGGGACTGGACAGGAGCTAACAGGATTAGTCCCAGACATACAGAACAGCATGCCACCCCAGGCTGTATTATTGTCCACTTCACTGTCTGCTGCCAGTTGCAGCTTCTAAACACAAAAGACTACTCAAAGGAAATAAATTATTGAATGATACTCATAACATTCGCATTTTATATATTTCTACTTTACAGATCAGCACTTCCTTTCAGTCAAAGCATGGCAGCCGCGGGAGACAACAAAACATTAAGCCAGGGAAGTGCCTGATGTGTCCTAGAAAGAACTCCTTTTTTCCTGCCTGCAAACCTGAAGAGTGCTCCGAGCTGACAGGACAGAGCTAGTGATTTTAGCTGAGCAGCATTCTCAGCGCGGTTCAAAAATAGCCATTTGACCAAACAGACCAACCTTCAAACTATTATGTAACCAAGACAATCTCGGTAGCTTCTGCACCTGCCTGAGACTTCAGAGCTTCTGCATTTGAAAGAAACATTTTTAAGGAACACACAGATAAAGGGGTGTGCAAATTAAACAAGCAACAGTATGAGTCCTGGTTTCAGTCAGTTATCGCATTGAAAGGCAAATGTACAGTTATCTAGACTTAGTGCTAAACAGGGCAAACATGGTCAGAGCCATAAATCAAGAAGGGTGTAAGAGCCTGTCTATGTTTCATGCTTATCAAAAGGAAATCTAACTACTCAGTCCATTTCTACTAAAATGCAATGGTTGCTTTGCATTTGCACACATAAAGAGGATTCTACCAAAGGATGAGGAACGCCCAGAAGGTTTGAAACGTCATACAATGTGCATCTCTTCATATGAGTATACCACTTTGGCTTAGGACTTCAACATCACTTCAGACTTTAGTTAACTGTGATGGAAAATTTTTCATATTTTCTGTCATTTTATGGATGACAGCGATGAACTGTAAAATAAAATAAAATAACCAACAGTTTTATGCATCAATAATAAAATAATCATTGGACCTAGTTGTGGCCCTGACTTATTAGATATAAAGTAACAGTTGGATCATAGATGAAAATAACGAGGGAATTCTGTTTTAGTAAGACAGTATTATGTATTAATTTTATTAAGGAGGTACATATCACCAACCCAAGTCAGTCACTAGTGTCATCAAATAATTGTCATTAAAAGGGAGCAGTGCTGCAACACTAGCTGAGGTGGACAAAACACACTAGAGTAAAGAGAGCATTTGAATCAGCTTTATTTTAGCCAATACTAATCCATTAAATTCTGCCCAAATTGGCTTCTTCTTCGGACATCCATAGTTTTTCATGGGATAAAAAATGATAAGCCTTACAAGTGTTTCCAGATTAGCCTGGCTATAAAATGATGGCCTATTGGCAGGCAGAGCATTCTCCGAACAGTCTGATCTCTAGTTCCTTGAGCAAAATACTGAATCGACTCCATCCTACACCTGGGGCACCAATGTTCCCCCCGTACTACATGAATCTCTCATTAAATATAAATAACTAACACAGTGACATAGCACAAGCCTACATTTAAAGCTAGATTATGACTGTATAAAGTATAACAAGGCTTCATTTCATGGAAATGATAGAAGGGACCGGTTGAAATGATACATTGTTCACGCACAAATTTAGTGTTTTTTTGCTATTGATAGATGACAGAAAGTACACAAATTAAATAAAGCGACTGTCCACAAGTACAGAGATATGGTGATGTAATTAAAGATAAACTAACTTGGACATTTGTTTTTCATGTACAAAGTTTTATCTAATGTAATTAGATAAATTGATTGTATTCGTTGTCATCAATTTACTTATTTTATATTATTTTGAGTAGTACTTTGGTAGTCTTTAATCATGTAACCCAGCCCTACCTACAACCTGATGATTCTACCATCCATACACACAACAAAACATTGTGCAAGCTTTTAAAAATAATATATTTATTCAATCCAGTGGCTTGCCATCATCTGTGTCATAAAGCAATCTACTGTTTAAAGTCTCAATGTGTATTAATTAGATGCATTGGCTGATATTAGCTGACCTGTCCAGGGTGTACCTCGCCTTTCACCCAATGTAAGCTGGGAGTGGCTCCAGCCGCCCGTGACCCTGTACGCAGGATAAGCAGTTGACGATGGATGGCTGATATTACCTCATTGCCGATTTACTGTATCAGCAAATGTCAGCCACTATATGACAAGAACATGAAGTAAAGGAACGTCAAAGATATGTTCTCAAACAGTATCACCATTCAGTAGATTGTCTACCAAAGAGCAGTGACAAGTTTTTCAACTCCAAAATTATTTACTCTGTTCCGACGCCTGGGTCTGCAAAATAAAGTATCAGATAATAATGAACTACTTCTATTTCCTCTTTCTTTCTTATTAACAAAGAGCCGTGTACAAAATATACAGGCAGCAGCTTCTCATTTTAGCCAGCGCTGAAATTCAATGTGTCATATATATTTAATCAACATTTAGATAAATATAAGTATCAGATTGGACTCAGTATCGGCAAATACCCAATATTTGAAGACTTTGATCTGGATCAGGGCTAAAAAAGCTTTACTGGGATATCCCTAGTATAAAAGAAATCTCTTAAAAAACTGGGGGGGGGTCACATTTGAGCTATAATAATGTGTTTTAGATGGAGAAACAATCCTATCACAATATGTGACCGACTACTTGCGCCCACTGAGACACACGCAGCATGACGACCACATTTCATTGAAGAAAACGGGGACGTCACTAGGAGACAGAGCCGCCTCCCATCTCTTTGCATCAACTCATAAATCACAACACGGATGTAACAACTTACATGCTGCTCTCTCAAGAATGTCACCATACCATAAGGATTGGTTTAAAGTGAAATGTAAAAAAGGTGAACAGATGACGTGATTAAGCTCCCATTCGGTTACAATATCAGACTGTGACGTCAATCATGCCTCATCGGTCTTTCTCAGGGCACTGAAAATGTGTCTAGAACACAGAGTCCTGTTCAGTTAAACAAGCAGCTGCATGATGTGATACTTTACACCTCTTCTCCAAATGAACAAAATTCTCTAAAACCATGTAGAAATATATCTGTAAATGTAACGGTAAGATCCTTATACTTGAAGACAACCTGTCTCCATCTACAGGTTCCACCCCAGGACTTTTGTGAATTTTGATGACTTGCTTTCTGAGTTACATATAACTATAAACACAATAATTTCAGGTTGTTTGACTGTTGTATAAAATTAAGTAAGCAAGTGGTACATCTCTTTGAGCTATGGTAACATGAGAGACATTAAGTTTACAACAACTAGTAGTTAATTTCATTTTCAATTAATGTTATTATTTTTTCTATTGATTGATTGATTGGTCTATAAAATAGTGAAACATGTCCATCACAGCTTCCTGGAAGCTGCAACCAGAGAACGGTTGCAATTCTTGCTTGATAATAATTGATTTAAACAATCAGCCAAACTTTTAGAAATCTTTGTTCCATTTGTTCAAGCTGCTGTACAATACCGCCGCTTATGGGTGACCTTCAGGCCAAACAAGTACCTGCGGGCATAAACTGAACAACACAGCAATGTTTGATTACAAATCAAACATCATGGCAAATCCCCCCCCCCCATTTAACTGGTAGCCTACAGTACGTCATTACATTTTCTTGATCAATGATGTCTTTCCATAGTAGGATTTTGTGTGATATTAGTCTATTGCCCTGCCATAAAAACAGTAAGTTCAAAAGTTACTCAAGCTTATTGCATTTGTTATCAATGCCAACAGTCAAGGTTTAAATGCAATAAGACAGTGACAGAATATCAAAGCATGATGCCAATAAATCTTGGATGTTCCACTGAAGTATGGTGCTTTAACAGGTGTAGTTCTTCTCATATGGAGGAGAAAAAGTATGGGTGGAGATTCAAGTATAAATATAGCAGAATAAAAAACAGAAAAAAAATAATCACCTTATTAACTTATATGTGAAAACATGCAACATGAGACGTTGAGGGACTTTAAGTACAAGGTTCATAACCTATTCCACAGACATGGGCCTTCACAGTTAATGTTTTGCAATATCAGCTTCTGGACGATTACTGTGCATTCAATTAGCTATTAAAATTTGTATCGGGAGACAGTTTTGTTAATCTCAAGTAAAAACTGTATAGCCTTATTAATTAACAGCGTTCCATGGTGATCCCGTTTTAGTCTCCACCCTGATAGTGATTCATCAAACTATAGTAGATAACCTTAAGGGGGCTAGTATTATGCATGAAAACAACACATTTGCTAAAGACTGTTTTATTTTTGTGAGAAACAGGTCTGAATTCAAAATATGGCTCGGATGACGTCTTTCCAAGCTTCGATGGCCACAAGGGCAAAGTTGCAGCAATGGCTCAGCAACGCCCTTTCCAGCTACTGTTAGCTTAGCACTATAACGTAGACGTTAAGTGGAGCTGTCAGTGTGAGCAGACTGGATTTACACAGCCACTCAGTCGCCGTACCAAACACACACAAAGGGAGTTTGGTCTACGTTTAAAAGCCGCTAGGCAACATAGCTATTTGCTGAAAATAACCTAACGTTTCCCGTTAAAATGTGAAGGAGAATGGGATATGTAACCCAAGTTAAATGGCTGTATTATTAGCCGATATTCCCCAGTAACGTTACAACAAAACACTGTTTTAACTGTTAGTGTAACGTAACATAGGTTCACAACAAATAATTTCAACGTTTCAAATATATCACTTCCATTATGCATTTACTAGCTACGTCAGGGTATTTTCACCCGACTGTGGAAAATATGGCAGCAAGCTGACAGCACCTAAGTTAGCTTAGCCGGCTAACGTACCACGTTAGCTCATCCCCACAGAACTTCCATAAATAGACGCAGCTAACGTTAGCCAAATGTTCAGCTGGGCTTCACAACAAGTGTCTCGATCCAAATCACGCATTGACGGAGAAGCACCCAAGCGGCTGTAAGACGACAATCACATTCAGCATATTTGAATAACCTCACCTTTTGATTATTTTAACGTTCAGTTCAGTAAATAGATCTTTGGAATGCCAACTTTGCCACTTAAGCTAGCTTAGCTTGCTCTCGGCCTCTCCGCCATTTTGAGATCGGAACGGGAAAGCGCAGACACCGAGGCAATTCGTCGTAAAAAATAACAAGTCTTTCTAAGTGCCAAAACTAAAACACAGACAAGTGTAAAAGCTGCTAACTTACCCTTTGACAAATGTTCACTTTCATATCCACTCGACTGGTCTAAACATCCGATCGGAAACCCTGGTTTTGATGTGGTATTGTGACTTTTCACATCACCCGGTACGTTCAGATTTTTTTTCTCCTCTTCGGTACCACCGCATTCGCCCCAGCTAACGGTCGCGACTGGAAATCGGCTGCGCGCACGTTGAGGTGAGCGGAGGCGCGCCGCATATGTGTCGCTGTTGGGATTAAAGGGAAAATCCAACATAAATACAAGTTTATACGTTTTGGAAAATTATAATTAAAGCCCCCCTCCAGTGTATTTTGACATTTGACTTTGATATTTCATATATTTCGGAGTCATTTCCTTACATTGTTGATTACCCACATACTTACACTTCCACATAGCTTAATTTTGTGCTCAAAGTTGCAAAAATATTTTCTTTTTGCTGCTGTTTACATTCATCCCAGACGCAAATTCAAAAAATGCAATGTGGGAATGTTAGGGGTGTATACCAGAATCGGAATTAGAATCAGCTTTATTTGCCAGGTATGTGCATACATAGGAGGAATTTGACTCTGGATTGTACATTGCTAAGGATGTGCTTACTTATACAATAATACAATAATAAAATCAGACACCGGCTACAGTATAGAGAACACATATATACACACCATAAACAAAAACAATATAGACAGATTGAGACAATAGTGCAATGAGCATTGTGCAAATGATGCAGGAGTAAATTATCATTACCATTATTATTATTAATATTATTATTATGTATATGTCGGAGGTGGATGAGATATACAGGTGCACATACACATACGTGCATACATGTACACAGTGCAGTGGAGAATAGTGCAAAGCATGCTGGAATAAATAAGTATTATGTGCAGATCTTATGTACTTGAGGTATAGGTGGATTTGGTAATATACAATATGACAATATGAACAGTATGAACAGCTCTGAAATAGAGAACGAGAGAACGAGAGAATGATGAATAAATAATAAGTGGTAACCCGTCAAGAGGTGGCTGATTAGAGACAGAGTTATTGGGTTATTGTGCAGTAATTGTTCCTGAGACTGTGGGTCAGAAGTCAGCTGTTCATCAGAGTGATGGCTTGTGGGAAGAAATTGTTCCTGAGTCTGTTGGTTTTGGCGAACAGTGCTCTGTAGTGGCTTTTTCCTGACTCTGGAAATGTACAAGTCCTGAATGGAGGGCAGGTTGGCACCAATGATCTTTTCTGCAGTCCTGACTGTCCTTTGTAGTCTGGTCCTATCCTTTTTGGTGACAGATCCAAACCAGACAGTGATGGACGTGCAGAGGACATACATAAGTGTGTGTGTATATATATATATATGCATATAAATAACTGTAGGCTATATATTGTTTTACTTTATGTTACCATACTTTGATATACACGTAATTAGCCCATATGTTAAGTTCTGTGTGTGTATAGCATGAAGGGACTACAAATTTTGTTTTGTTATAGGCCACCATGTGCAGTATGACAAATAGGTACCCTACAAGGTAACGTTACATTTATTTGTCACAACAGGTTGTATAGCAGACAATATACAGTAATACAAATGCAATCATAAAATGGTACAGAAATAATCTATATTCAATGGAGCAGTGCTGGTGCTGAGGATGAAGGGGGGGGGGGCAATATCGACAACAGCTGAAACTTCTATTTCTTTTCCCAGAAGGCAGCAGGGTGAACAGGCTGTGGATTGCCTGAGTGCTGTCCTTTGGCTCTGCGCAGGCACCTCACTTCACCGATATCACTGATCCTTGGAGATGGGTAATGTTCTTCTGAGCAGTTTTAATCACCTGCTGCAGAGCCCTCAGGCTGTGCACATCCCATGCCAGTTTGTGATGTTTTCAGTTGGGATGCTTTCTATTGCTCCTCTGTAAAAGCTGGCAGGGACTTGGCACTGGAATTTAACCTTCTTAAGCTTTCTTAAGAAATACAGTCAAGTACTATGTACCTTATTATGCACTTTTAATGTAAACAAGTTTCTCATTGTGATGCGCAGCAGTGATCATGTCACATACACTCATGCAGCTGACCCATTATAAGAGATGATAAATATCTAATGGAACAACTGCCAGGAAACTATACATAAGTAATAATGATTTTACACATACTATGGGTACATTTTCAGATTAACAGTTGTGCTCCATAAATTGAAATGGCAATGATTTAGGGGTAATATTCAAAATGCAATCACTAAGCTCACATTCAGTCACTTATTTGGTGTCAGTGGACCAACTTCACAAACTTGAAGCATAACACTCTCGTTTCCAGTTCAGGGAGCAGTTTAGACACCATACATTTTCCCATAATTAACTGAAGTATATATAAGACAAGCTTATTGTTCCCCAAGGAGTCACCTGGATGTCAATGACTATGTGAATTGAATTATAATGGACTGCTACACACCTAAAACAGTCATAGAGATGGTAATTCTCAGGCATAGACAAATCAGTTATGAAGTTCTGAGAAGCGTCAATGGCACAAGTGTGAAACCCAGTGGACACACAGGGGACTGCAAGATGATAAGACATCGAGACTTTTGGTAGTGTTGCTATATTTAGTGTGATCACACTTGAGTTGTCTTCACTCTTAATTAGTGGGAGAGCTCTAGTGGCATGTGATTTATTTACCTGTAGGTAGAGCTATAGGATTTTACATTGCTAATGGAGCAGTACTTTGCAGCAGCATTGGTAGCAGTCACAGCTAACAGCTCTCACTTTTTAATTTAGTAAATGCCCATTCTAGTTATAGGTTTATTTTGTTTATTCCACGTTATTGCACCTTTTGTCCTAGAAGCTTTGTTTCAACTTCAAAATGTACATCCTGTTCAGGAGATGTTTGCTAGTACTTTTATTGCTGATATCTGTAATGATTGATTTTATATTAAAAATGTTAGCATTTTAAAATTAATGGGTTTCAATAGGAGCAGAAACTCAACTTTCTTCCAACCTACTCAACTTTAAGAGCTAAAGGCTCCGGCATATGTGCAACTACAGACTCCATTTGAGCTGTCAGTCGCAGAAAAGATGTTGATCTTTCAAAGTTGAATTTGGTGTTTAGTTTAGGAGATGTGCCCTTCCAAAGTGAAGGGTTTTTACAGCGTTTAAGAGATTTTATCAGTGTGTCACATGATGAGCTAGAGTGTAGAGAGAAGATTTGGTAGACCAGAATGTTTGTAAGCCTGCCAGTCGTGTATATTTATCTACATAAGCACAAAAATGCATCAAAATATAGCCACATGCCTTTTCTTTCTTGACTTTTAAGTATTTTGTGCAGCGTCTAAAGTGTGTGACAATTCAGAGCCGCATCGGGAGAGCTGCAGTGCGGACACAACACTGACATGCTTCACGTGCGAGGGCCCATCCAGTGCTGATTGCGGCTTTTATATTTTTACTGAAGTAGGTAGCACTGTAGGATTTTAAATTACTGATGGAGCAGTACTTTGCAGCAGCATTTTTTGCAGTCAAAGCTATGTCAGCTCTCACTCACATTTACTGAAGTAAATACCCATTCTAGTATATTTAAAAAAATTCTCAGTAGCAGTAGGCCTAAACAAACTGAGTAGTAGTATAATTTTATTTATGCATTTTTCTGACAAACAGGACATTTTGGCTATACATATTGGCCTTGAAATTACAGCTTGCATTGTTCATTCATGCATCCCATACTTTTCAACAAGAGCTTTATCATGGCTGCGGCTCTCTTCAACGTCCAATCCTCCCCAGACAACAGTAGAACAAAGTCCTCCTTCTAAAAGGAGTCATCTGCCCCTGTCTGTTACTTGGATATAGTTTTTGTCCAAAGTAGGCTAACTTACTTATTAACACCTTTCATTTGCCATTGTTGCTCATTGCCAGTGGTCATTTTCAAAACTCTGACTGAATACACAGCTTTTCTAATGTAACTGTCCTTTAAGTCCCTAGTTCATCGTTGTCGTCTGCCGTTCTTAAATCTTTTTTTCCAGCTCTTCCACTTTAGACTTTTCCTTTCCTTTTAACTCAGTCCTCAGATCTGCAATGTCTTTAGCACTAAAGAGAGAAAGACATAAAAGATACAGTCTGTGTGAGGAAATCACTATTTACATTTACCATTTATCAGAATAATAATCAGGTGAGGCTAATATTTCAACCCCCTCATTAGCATTTATTTTTGATTCCATAGCTGGGGCCATTTCAATGTTCACCTGAGGGCAATGAGAATGATTCCACATGTGAGGTTGAGCTGCTGAAGGATTGTGGGAAGGCATGGTGTGGAAAACTGGAGAGAAACACAAATGAAAATAAGTATCCCAACCAGAAATGCATGTGTTGCATGTATTTACAAAACTGTACAAACCTTTGGAGGTGGAATACAGTCACTAGGTGTGTTACTGTAAATGTGGTTGATGGCTTTCTGAAGGATCACACCCTGCTGAGTAAGGCTCTTAAGGTACTCTGAGCTTTCCTTCGTGCTGTCATGGTCCTCACCAACCTTCATGTGTGCAACAAAGAAGCCTCTCAGTTTAAATTACAAGTATGTAGCATAAACATAACACTGGCAAACATGCAAAACAAGCATTTTAAAGCACACCTGGCTCTTGTATATTGAATAAGCCTCTTTCTCATGTTGCAGAGCTGATCGAAACTCTCCTTTACTCTCGTACACAGTGGCGAGCAGGTGATGACTGCAGAGAAAGTAGAAATGAGCAGAGGTAAAGAAATTTACCTTAACTTTAACAATGAAATGAAGGAAGGAGTATCAATTGTTGAAGGAAGTGTTTCTATCATTTTCCCAGAGTGTTTGTAATTATTGTAATAATGTGTTGTGATCTGCTTCTGAATAAAAGAAAACAGAGGAACATGACGACAAACTGTCTTACCCGTGTGCATACTTCAGAGATGTGGCACCGTGGTATTTTGAGGTCAAAATTAAGGCATTCTGCAGGAACTTTAGGGAAAGCTCATACTCCATCAGTCCATGAAGCACTAGACCCAGCATACTCTGATGTAGTGGAGCACAACAGGGACTTTACCAGATGATCTCCAACCCAAAGGTGTGATGTAATTATACCTTCCAGCACAAATAAAAGTGACTATATGGAGAAGCCTCGCCTGAATATTCACAAGCTGAAATACCGGCTTACCAAGTAACTTTCTCAGGGTTGCATTCAGTGATTTCTTATGATCTGGCGAGGCTTCAAGTTGCCTATTTGTAACTCCCAATATCTTATCTACCTGAACTTTTTTGGACTGTTTGTTAAAACTCTTTCCTCAAGTTTTATTACATGATAGGGTCCTGATTAACTATAATATTCTGTTCTGAAATGGGATAAATGATACCAGTGTACTGTACCTGGAGACTGGGAGGGGGTGTTGAAAGGATAAAGAGGCGTATCTGGATGTCAAGTTAAATATAAACTTAAAAAACTATACTGCTAATATCTATTCTGTATTCAGTTTGGGTTTGTACAGTAAAGAACATTTTGCTAAAAGAAAAATGTGTTCAGTCCATCCAAATTACTTGATTTAAAAAAAATAAGGATTTGAGTTACTCTTATTGATATTATTGATATATTATTTGAATTGTTCTGACTTTTTAAACTCACTCCTAACTAAATCCTCAAATTTGTGCAAAACACTTAATACCCAAAGTGGGTTAAAATCAAGGCCAACTGGATTTGTTTTAAGATACGGGAAGACATTTCACCTCTCATCTAAGAGGCTTCTTTAAAAGGCTTGGCTTACTAGCACTGTATAGTTTGTACACAGGTTAACACTTTATTTTAAGGTGCTTGTAAGGACAGTAATAAAACAGTTAATAAGACACTTACATAACTTTATTAAAGCACAATTAACTCATTTATAATTGCTTATAAGACACTTATAGGCTCCTTATTAGAAACTTGTTGATGTTTTATATACATGTCATTAACATTAATAAGATGTTTGTAAACTAGACTTAAGAAGGGTTAATTAGAAAAATTTATAGATTTGTTTTGTAAGACAAGTGTAGTGAACGTGAAAGTTTGAAGCAGAGTGAGTCACTGAGATTGAGAATAAAATTTCTTGATATGTACACTACACTGAAAGGAATACATTTTGAGAAGGGGATATATTTAAATCTTTGATATTAACAATAAAATGTTAAGTTTGTATCTTTACACAAATATATCTAGTTTAAAATTTGCTCAAAAGACTTTGTGCATTTTTTCCTTTACAAAATGTAATTTAAGTAATCCCAGACAATCTTCTATTGTCTAAAATAGACAAATAACATTGAAATAGATTGTTGTGAAAAATAAAGAAGAAAGACAGAAAGCAACACTTTGTACTTGATGTCTCACTTACATCCAGGAGTGCGACGTGCGGATGGTCTTCTCCGCTCACAAGCAGGGTGAGGTATCGAGCACGATACAGCAGCTGTAGGGACGTCGAAAGCCGGCCTCCAGCAAAGCAATAAAGGGCCAGGTAAGTCTGAATCACAGAGAGAAGAATACATCTATGTGAAGACACACGTGGTATAAAAAATTGAGAATTAATTATAGATGTTTGTAAAGGAACAACAGGAATAACATGTTATGGTGGAACTCACATAGTCTTGTATGGTCTGTGGATGGTCTATACCTTGTACTCTCTCACTACTCATAACAGCCTTTTCCTGGTGGCTGAGGGCCTGTAAGAAATGGAGAAAGGAGGGAATCATTACTTTAGCTCACAAATGTTCATATTTCTGTCTGTTTGTATAATGCAGGTCAAAGACTGTATGACATCACTCCAGAAGTGGGTGATGACTTAGAGGTCTGGAACCAGGTCTGGAACCAGGTTTGGAAACAGGTCATGTAGAAATCAATAGTAATGCATATTTACATCCGCATATTCCCCCAAGATGTAGCTGAGTCGTCCCAGGAGACGCAGGCACATGCACACATCCTCATGCAGGACCCCACATACGCTGCTGAACAGAGTCAGGGCCTGGCTAATCAATTCATATCCGTCTTTGAGAAGCCCTGAAAGCAAACATAAAACCCTGCTGATGAGCTTTGAATGTAGAAGAATACTGCTCTTCACATGAAGTACACTGAATCCAGATGGGGACTCAAACCCACTAAATGATTTTACTTACAAGCAAGTCCAAATCAGTAGGATGTTAGGATCGGTATTGATTAAAGGCTACTCTGTGTTAAATGCCTAGGTGGTGGTGACCCTCAAATATTTCTATATATACACTGAGTGACAGAATTGACAGTTCTTGTAATCTAATGGTGCCTTCAAGTGCAGTTGTGTTCACTATGTGCATGATAAGAGTCCATTTGAATGACCCACTGATGGGGTATTCACAACACAACATGTTAAAGGATAGGTTCACATGTTTATCTTAAAACAATGCTCACATGTGCACATACACATTAAATGTGATATTGCTTGATGTAATTGTTCCCCCCATTGGCGACAAAGACACCCTTACTCAAAACGATTTTCAATATAAGTAATGGCAGACAACATCCACAGTCCTCTTTCTGTGCAAAAATGCAGTTCAGATGTAGCTAAAATAGACTCCAGCAGTCTGAAGATACAGTACTTGCTTTCATTTTCTGACTATTGAAGGCTCATATTTACTTTTCTGAGCTTGAGAATATATTTTTACACAGAATGAGACCGTGGATTTTGTCCCCTATCACTTACATTGACATTGCTTTTTTCTGGTCAGTATGGACAGCAGCAACAATTACAGCCAACAAAAAGTCTTTTACTATACACTGTCACGATCCTCTCTGTCTGCTGTCTTAGTGTGCGCCTCTACCTAATATTATTGTTTATCTGGTCATGATTTGTCTTCAGTATTTTGGTATCTTCCTTATTTCTGATCTGTTCCATGTTTAGTGTTGTCCTGTTTCCTGGTTGGTGCTGTCACTGTTCTCTGCCCTGTTCTGTTTAGCAGTCGGTCCATGTTTTCTGTTTTGTGGTTTTGTTCCTTGTCTTGTGTTTCCTCTGCTTGGCCTTGTTTATTTCAATGTTCATTTGCATGCTCTGTTTAGCTCACTTAGTACCTGTTCTGTTTTGTATCTTAGGTTTAGAGCTGCATTTTAGTTCTGTGTCTTAGTTAATGTCTTTGTATTTACTCCTAGTTCTGTGTTTGCATTATTTTGGCTTTTTCTGCTCTGTGTTCTGTTTAATCCTAGTTTCAGTCTGTTTTACCTGTCGGCAGGCCAGATACTTTTCCATATGGGCCCACCAGTTAATGGTCAGTCACTTTAAGCACCCAGGTGAGGTCACCATGCTGCCCTAAACGTAAAGTACAGTATATACTGTGTTTGTGTCTCTCACCCTGCTGTACTGCTACCTGTGCGTGTTGCACAAGCCGTGTGGCATCCGTTCCCGTAGGTTTAAGATGTTTGACCACAGGGAACATGTTGACAACATCTTCCTCACTAAACACTGGCCTGTGTCGATACTCAAACACATACTCCTTCAACTGCACCTAAACAGACAAAAGGAAGAATGGAAAGTGATGCTTTTTAAAGCTGCATTAGATGACTTTGCACTTTGGCGGTCCCAAATGAATGCTGGAGATTATTTCAGTTTTAAAGGGCTTGTTGGATTTCAGCAACTCCTGTATCATATTGTCAGTCCTCAATTTATGCAGTAAGATGTCTGTCTTACAAATATGAACATACATTTTTTACCTTAATGAGCGTGACAAGTTGTGGCCAAAAAAGATTATCTGGAGCTGAATATTATCATCTGATTTTGGCTTCTGGTAGGGGTGAAAAGTAGTTTTTGCAGCAGGTTCAATCATTACCACCATTATTGCTGAGTCCAGCTTTCTACCAAAAGAGAACCTGCTGTTCAGAGGAACATTTTCTCTCTCTCTCCAGTCCTTATTGCTTACTTTGTTTGAGCCAAGAAAATATCCAGCCTATGAAACCTTGGTCAAATAAAGCAGTCTTTATTTATGTCTTATGTGGTAGGCATTAGCAGCTTTTTTAAAATTGCATCTCCAGATTTGATTTAATGATACAAAAGGTATGGTTTCCGCTAAAATTCCTGTGCAGCTTTAGACAGAATACATTACATTTCAGATATTATAGAGAGAAGCATGTTAGATGTCTGACCTGGATGCCCGTCTTGATGGCAATCTCTCTCAGCAGGGAGATCCTCTGAAGGTTGTGCTTTTCTATCACTTCATCTATACTTTCACTGAACACAGAGAAGACGACAGTGTAAAATCCCATTGCAAACAGACACACATACACAGAAACATACACACCCCCACACACACCTGTCAATTGTGTAGTGGTAATAATCTCCAGCCTCAGTCCTGACCCTGCTCCACAGCTCAGTAGGGGTCAGTCTAGCCCACACACCATCTGTCAACGAGGAGACTCGACTCCCGTGGCTCCGTCGACGTCGGCTCCTGCGGCGAGGGAGTTGCTTTTCTGAGCAGGAGTCAGGGAAACAGGAGGAGGAGCTCAGGAGGCAGTTCAAAAAGTGACTGACAGCAGCGGAAAAAACTGCAGGTTCGACGTCCTGGGAGAAAAGAAGTTACATGTTGATTTAAAGTAATGTAAGATAGCAAAATGTTATTTTAATATTTTACTTGCACTTCACCTGTAGATAGGTCCTGAAGATGTGTTTTGCACTTCTGATGATGACTTCACTGATAGAAATTCTCTGAGGAAACATTTATTCAGTTATTTGATGAGGGAGACTTTAGCATCCAGACAGACAGTTCTGTGAAAAAGTGGAAAAAGTAGCAACGAGAAGAACTGCACACTATCAATTTTGTTTATAAATGATGTAGTATTGTATAGTATCTCTTCTGTCTTGAACAAAATGTAAGCACCTAGCATAGTAGAACTGCCAGTCATTTGGACATTTATGTTACTCAATCCTTCACCTAGAAAAGAATGTGATTCAAGAGATGTATTGGAAATCTTATCAACGTAAAAGTAAACTTAACAGAAAGAGGCAGACAGCTATGGTGACTTTACACACGTGGTATGGTTAATAATATCTGTAGTAAGTACTTGTATGTGGCTGAGTCTCCCTCTCTCGTCCACCCTGTCCAACTCCCTCAGCAGGGTGCCCAAGTATCGTACGTTCACGCCCCGCTGGTGCAGCGCTGAGGTCAGGGTCGCTCCATCCATCGGCACTGCTGTGTGGTCGAGACAGTCCCTCAGCTACCACACACACACACACACACACACACACACACACACACACACACACACACACACACACACACACACACACACACACACACAGGGTCCGCAATAGAATTATAGATATCGTAAACTTCACGCACGTGATAGACCAGAACATTATTGCTCCACAGAGGACTCACCACTGCTGGAATCTGATTGGACAGTAGAAAAGCAGCCGCGTCCCATAACAACTGTCTCTGCCTCTGAACCTCCTCAGCACACTCGGAGGAGACACTAACACCTGCAGCAAAGACACAGATCAATCTTAGTCTGATGTGTTATTTATTTATATATATGACTGTGTCTGTGTGTGTGTGTGCGTGTACGCGCGTAAGTGTGTTCAATACCTGGAGAGCAAACATCAGGATTGAAGCGGATGTCAAAGCAAGAGTCACTGACTGATCCAACAGCCTCACAAGCTTCCTTGATCACATTTCTTCTCTGAAATTCTACAGAAGTAAAATATGAATGCATTATTAATTAATGTAATTAATTAATTAATTGACGTAGCACAATCAAACAATCCGTACTACTTTCCCTGGCCTCAATTATTAATTAACACTGAATATTTGCACATTTTGAGGGTATATTAACTGTGATGTAAGTTTATCAATAACCATTACAGTAACAATTATTTTAAATTTAGCAGAATTAAATAATCTTGACTCTAAATTTGAGAAACTGAGGTCTGGTAATTTTTATCATATATATATGATCTTCATCAGCAGGTGAAGTTTGCTCATTAAGTTAAAGTTGGTCAAATGTTTTTTTTTTTTCTTAAAAAAACACTGATGTTAAAAGTTAATTCACAGCTACTTCTCTTTGCAGTAACTCAATTTGTCCTGGTTTATCAACAGGTGTTATTTCAGCACCGGCTGTGGCTGTGTCTCCGGTTCTGGGCTCACAGACCAGCTCTTCACTCTGCTCCGTGGCTTTTTCATGTTCTTCCAGCTGGATGAGCCCCTGGGACACCATCTTGACATAAAGTTCATACCTGCAACAGAAAATAAAAGATAAGAAGAATAAGATGCTATATGTCCAAAGATCAGTTCATCCTGCTAGTTTAATAGTTGCATGGTGGCTGAATTTGTCTCCTCTTCCTCACCTTTGCTGCACGAAGGCTTCTATCAGCTCTGGTCTCAGGCTGGCCAGGCTGTGATGATGTTTCTGGGGGTAACCAAAGCTCTGACACTCTTTCGGCGCCTCGCTCCTCTCCTCTGTCTCTGAGAGCTGGAAGTTAAGGTCGGGAGGGAAGGTGCGCAGAAGGTCCAAAATGTAGGGTCTTCCGTCATTACCCAGGATGCCTTTGGTCTCAATGCCAGAGCAAAGGTCCACAGGGCTGTTGCTGTGGTCGAGCACCTGGTGACGTTGGATTCTTAGTGGTTTACTAGTTTTATCCAGAAGCTCTAGAAACCTGGAAAATTGTTGAGAAAATTACAGGTCGCCTCATTACATGTTTAAATTTGTACTGGGTCAAGATCAAAATACCTAAAACATGAGACTTTTTTTTGTGGTTGTGTTTGTTACCTGGGGTGTGTAAATACAGTTTTCCCGTAGTCATTAGAGCCGTAGACTATACTCTGCTCCTGATTTTTCTCCAGTATCCCAGGAACAATCGTCTGGGCAATAACACGGATACCACGGTAATCCACTACAGCTGTTCCAAGTGTGTGAAGCCCCTCTATGTCGACAGATACATATGCCTGTAGCAGAGCAACATATATATTTTAAATTTTTAAGGCAAAAACATGAGGGGATTAGATTAGATATCCACACACTCATACCCTTACAATACACTGAATGCAATACTGTCCCTTCTGGAACAAACAGTGAATGCATCCCAAACACCTCACTACTCATGCAGGTATTGCTGTCAGGATCTCTACCTGTGCTCCTCTCAGGTCACAGATGGCAGCAGCATGAGCAGCAGTGTTGCCCCCTAGTGGGCGGTAGTGCTCAGCCATGTCGAACCCCAGGCTGAAGAAGATATTGTTCCAGATGAACATCTGCATATGAGGTGCCTCCCCTGGGTTTAACGGCATCACGTTACCGTCGATAATGGCTACAGCACCTCGTGTTGCAGCAGCAACAAAGTCACTGTTGGTCTGGATGGATGAATCTTGGTTAACACACGTTCTCTTCCCTTGATTTTAATAAAATCACATTAAGACATGTACCCCTGGAGACTGCTTCAGGGATTTAAACTGACTTTCAAAGCATTAAAAGGGAAGAGAGTTGGGAAAAAGATGTTAGGAAGTTGGTGGTCTCACCTTGAATATGCTCCTCTCTCTTTGCAGGCGCTCCTGGAGGGAGTTCCTGCTGAGTTCCCTGCATCCCTGCAGCTCCTCATTCCAGTCCCGACTCTGTGGTCATAACACACAACCTAAACATCAGCATCATCATCCCTATCTGTTAGCCTTAGATGTACTATGAACCTTTGTTTTTGTGTGTGTGCCTACATGCATGTGGCATAAGTTCTGTACTTTACTGCAATGTTATATTTCCACATTTAGCCTGTTTCCCCTGTTTCATGTCTGCAACCTGCCCAGCTGTGTGCTCGTCCTGGCCCATGCGACTGGTATGAGTCTCCTCCGCTCGGACACAGTCGAGGGTGTGGTCTTCATGACGGGCGATCCAGGTGAACACTTGGAAAGGTGCTGCGATCCGCTCATAAGGGTGTTGCTGGACTCTGGTTTACAGAAATGTTTTTTTTCCATTAGTGAGGTTTTATTGGGATGAAAGCTTTTCATATTCCTGTGTCTAGTACTATCAAGCCTCCTGTAAAGTCTAGACATTACTGTATTTCCATCTACATATTGGATTAATATGAAAATTTCACTTGTTCTTGTATTAGCATGATATTTCCAACTGATTACAGGCAGTTTGCTCACCTCTTCTTCTGCAGGGCACTGAAGTTTTTTCTGAAAGCAGGGCTGACTTGATTCAGCAGCTCGACTAGAGAGTGGCAAAGGATCTTGGGAACTGCTGGCTTGGGGTTGAAGTTGAAGGCAGTTGACCTGTAGCAGTCAGAGTTTAGCACAAATTTACTCCAGGTAAGTTTCAACTGTCCTCATCATACATATCTGTGGCTTATTTACTGCTCTAAGGTCTGTGTTGCTCTAACAAGTACTTAGTTGTGGAACTTTGAGAGAAGAAATATAATATTTTCAGGCAGTTGCTATTAACAATTAGCTAACTGCTAACACCAGCATGCTCACAACTAACATGCTGAACTGATGGTGGTTGTACCAAATCTAATGGTTATTCATCCAGTAGTTGTCAAGATTGGATACATCGTCTGAGAACCACGAATGCCTGTACAAAATGTGGGCCTCAATTCATAAAGATAAGATATTTCTCTGGATAAGTGAAAGATTTGAGCTGCTGGTGCCTCTGGGGACCATGAGTACAGAATTTCATGGCAATCTATCCAATAGTTGTTGAGATATTTGATTTTGCACAAAAGTAGTGGACCAACCAATATTGCCATCAGTAAAGTGATTCTGGTAGCACGGCTAAAAGCTCCTTAAATCTTCATAGCTTAGCAACCATGTAAATGGCCAAACAGTTGAACACTCACTGGTTGAGGTAGAAACCGCGTGTAGAAGATGTAATGTTGAGTTCTTTGTCTTCCATAGTCAGGACATTGAGGTACATTAAGTCCCCATGCATCTTCCTGTTTCCTGGAGGGGGGTTCCAGCTGCTCATGGTCAGAAGCCGCAGGCACTGTAATGGCTGTAATAATGTGTTTATAAAATTCCACTGTTGCTTCACTGTAACTGAATACATGTTTTGTTTAATATTATACATTTGACCAGTTATATCTGCCATCACAAAAGCTGATCTCTCACCTTCCCATCATCTCTGACCGGCTGCAGTGGAGTAAGTAACCGGTCCTTACACCCAGGGAGGACATATTCTGGAGGGCTGCAGTAAATAGACTCCTTTTCAGAAGCTCGCCTTATCCTCTTACTGTCACTGTCTGAAGGGATGAATATGGAGGTGAAATGGTTGAAGGATTACCAACAGAAATTCTCAGACAAAATCCGATGAGACAGCAAAATTACCCTGGTCTCCTCTGGTGTAAAAGGAGAGGTAAGACAGTGAGCTGCAGTTGACTCCGTTGTACGCATCTGCGGGGTCAAGGCTCCTCAGAAGATCCCGTACATGTCTGAGATGAAGACGAGCATCGCGCACTGAATAAGAATCTGCAACGAGATCAGAAACGATGCTTATCAAATGTTCAATTGTATTTTGAAGTGCAGGATGAATCTAAAGCTTTTTCTTGTTGCTATGATGCATTTCACGAAAGATGTTAAACAAATCAGTGACTCAAGTGGAGAAAGAACAAATCGTGTTATCATAATATCATATGATACCCAAATAACTTAAAATTGGTGGTATTGTGTGTATATAAAATTTCAGGCATAGCCTATGTAAACTCAAAGCATGGTGTTTTCCATGCAATCCAATAAAGTGAGCATATTTTATTCTTCTCACAGGTGATTTCACAAATGGCGATATCTAATCTAATTTATGAATTTCATTATGTTATTCCATATCACCCAGGGAAATTGAAAAATACCCATCTTTTAAAGGTTCATGTGTAATATTTCTGAGGATCTATCGACAGAAATGCAATATAAGATCCATAACTATGTTTTTAGTGGTGTGTGAAGACCTTACATAATAAACAATTATGTTTTTATTACCTTAGAATGAGTCATTTATATCTACATACACCACAGGTACCCCCTTCCATGGATGTTGCCACCGTTGCACATCATGTTTCTACAGTAACTGAAAACGGACAGCACTACAGTGCACGTTTTGTTACTATGTTCTTGTTGTTCTACTTCTGGTAGAGCAGACTTGCAGTGCAGGCTTATCACTATGTTGAACACATACATTAGAAAAAAGAAGAAGTAGTAATAAGATACTGCAGGGGTCGGCAAATAAATTTTGCATGAGAACAATATTTTCAACCATTATATAGTGGGTGAGAATAGAAGTCATAATATTAACTTGCACACACACACACACACACACACACACACACAGACACAGACACACACACACACACACACGCCACGATGTAATATTCAAAGCGACACACGCACTAGCTAGTCACACACACAGCGACCCACATGAAGCTGTCTTTTTATTTAAGTTAAAACGTTTGAACTTCACTCAGAATGTAAAGACAAATAAGCGGTATAAGCGGTGTTTTCTTTGGCTGTGGGTGCTGCAGCGGTCTGTGTGACAGTGGGACCAGATGGCTCTGTGAGCGGGCGGCTGTCCGGCCTCGTGAGCTCCTCCTGCGGGTTGGCGCAGGCTTCCCCCGCTGCCACTTGCGGAGCTCCTCAACTCCGAAAACTTTCAAGCACATTTGTATATTCGTATATTCGAAATCTTATTTATTTTATTTATTGATGAAATAACGTATGAAAATTGTAAAATATAAAACTTTCTGTTGATGGCCTCTGTCCGGCATGCACTTTGATAATGCAGTGAATAGTGACGATTCTCTCTGACCAATCACCAGTCTGCTGTGTTTTCACGTCACATTTTAGTATGGCCTCAGCTCGCCTGGAACCTCAACGGAGATGATACGAAAAAAAGTACCTGGTAGCAGGTACAGGTACAACTTTTCCGCAATGAAAAACCAAAGAAAGGCGAGTAGAGGCGAGTTGTGCTGGTACTGTGCAGTGGAAGAGGGGCTTTAATCTTACACACTGACCCTTTAAATGTTGCATTTTTCACAAAATGCAGTTGCGTGTGACTGAAATATTTATACTAGGGTTTCAAGTGAGTGATGCATTAGATAGAAATAAGTTGTAGTTGGTGGTGATGTTAATTAAAGCAAAATTAAAGTATGTTAGATTTTTGGTCACTTTCACAACTAATCACTTGTGCACCTGTCTGACACATGTAGAAGTTTGGATGAGAGTTCAACATTTTTCAGACTAAGAAGGGGCCCGCCTGTTACAACGTGTTACGGATGTGAGGTCTAATAAAACTGTAGTGATGCTGACAATGTTATACTCCAAAGTGAACGACACACACTTAATTATCACAAAAAGACAACTCAAAGAAGAAAGAAAAGGATGAAGCGGTTACCCTCCACCACCTTGATCACAGCTCCGTCCTGGATGCCCTCGATGGAGCTCAGCTCTGCGAGGTTGTCAAGTGTGATGCCTCCCAGCTGGAGGGAATAGCATGTGCGGTGGCAGGTGATCTCGTGCTCCATCAGCACCTGATGCAGCTCCGCCACCAGCAGTTGGCCTGACACCTGAGAGTTTGGATTGGAGCGATTCAGAAAAACATGAAGATACAGTGAAGTGTTTCAGCAATGAAGAAAAAATTGACAGCCGCACAGCAGAACCTGAAGCTGAAAACTTTCTGTCCCAGGTGGTTGGATTCTGACAGTAAAGCCCATCTCTTGTAGATTGACTATGTCACGGATGCTAAGTTGCTCAGACTGCTCTGGGCAATCATCCTCAGGGTCTTCAATTTGACTTGGAGGCGCTGTTAACAACAGAAGAGAAAAAATAAGTGTGTGAAGATGAAACCCGGCTGCGTGACAAGGAGGATCATTTTCCCAGAATTTAAATTAAAAAGGGAAAAAAGACAACAAACTATTATTATATTTTAATGCAGGATAATCAGGTGATAATTAAATATATTAAAAAAAAATTCCAATCCTTAAATGGAAAATAAAGAAACCTCAAATTAAAAGCTTAAATGCAAAATCTTGCATTTAAAACATGTAATTGAAGAGGAAATGAAAACATAATTACAAATTGTGTTGGCGGTATGGTACATTTGGCTTTTCACTTTCAAATTCATTTCACATTATAAATTTGTCATTTATATATCTATTTCTTGTTTCTTTTTAACATTTAATCATGGCCTTATTGTTCTGAGCACAAACATATAATAATAGCTCATAATGTTTTGCCATTTCCACTTTTAATTTTAAATTCTCAGTAAAATTCCCCTATAGTGCGTTGATCCACTGTACAAGCTGCACGTAGAGGCCTTGAACATGTTTGAATACCCCATTACATAGACAAAAACACACTGTACAGAGAAAATACAAGCAAATATTAGCACAGTCAAATAAAACCCCTTACCTTTGACACGTGCTGCTGCCATAAACAACCTGTCAACTGAAAACAAGGTCATTTGCATTGTCTCAGCCCCTTCCTCTTCCTCCACCTGTGGCAGAATTGTCACCAAAACACGCTGCAGAAAAGTCTTGTTGTTGTCCTCTTCCCTCTTTAGTAGGTCCAAATTTTCCTGGCATTGAATATGATCTGGATTTAAAATTGCCTCATCTGCTGTCTGACCTGTGTGGTGGTTTGTTTTTGTGTGGCTAATGTTATGTTCAATTACATTCTGATCTGACACCACAGTCGCCTGTCCCATCTGGTAATTCCCCCGATTACTCTGTTGTGACAGGTCCTCAGCAGGGTCAAAGGTCTCCACAGTCTCAGTGGTTTTGATGCTGGGTTTTGTCGGCTGAATGTACTTTTGTGACTCCACTGCAGCGATGTTCTCATCCATTTTGTTTACATTGTGTTCAGTCAGCATCACTGAGGTGCACTCTGACTTAAAGACATTGTCGTCAACTGTGTTTAACTCCTGTATTAGCTCTATATATTGTTCAGTTTGAAATGCATGCTTTGTTAAAGTCAGGTCCTCATGGATGTGAGTCTCTTTCAGTTTTTCCTGTTCAGCTTCCTCATCCACAGCCATCTCTTTTGTAGTGCCAGAATTTGTTAGTGTGTTTACTCCTCTCTCCACAGTCACATTACGGATCACTGTTTGTGCCTGAACTTCTGCCTGTGACTCTGTCTGAGTCTGTACCCCCATATCAATCTGTGTTTCCACCTCAGTCTGTGTCTCAACCTCAGAATACCCCCTGTTTCTCCCCCTGTTGCTCCTCTCTTGTCCTCCATCTCCTGGCTCATCCACCCTCGCTCCCTCATCCTCCTCAGACACCAGCAGACACACCATCGGCTCCACCAGAGTCACGTCCTCTCCCAGGTTGCTGCTCAGGATGATGTCCGGAAACAGGAAGTGCTCTGGTTCGAGGGCTGGGTTTGTCACACCGGTGGAGACAGTTAACAGATCGTCCTCCATGTCGTCCGTCAAGCTCGGCGAGTCAGGATCACTCTCCTCGCTAGATAGCAGAGGGGATCTTTCTGCCTCACCCTTGGCCCGTGCATCTTTACACTTAAAGTAGTTTGACAGTGTGTGACAGCACTGGACTATGTTTCCCATGGTGCCTTTGTGCACAAAACAGCAATACAACTGTGCAAGTGGACTAAAGGAGAAAAAACGACAGTGTTTATACAGGTTAAGTGACAATAACCTTAAGAAACTGAAAGGTAACTACTATTGATTACAAATAGGTTTTATTTTTGCAACTGCCTTACTTGGAAGTAACAATGAAAGTGAGAGCAAATGATCCCTCATTTCACAGAACAAACAAACTATGTTAAGTATGGTAGGTCAAAGCTGAACCAAATTGTAAACTGTGTGGACTTTCTCTTCCAAATAAGTTTGACTAACCTGGGAGTTTCTATACAACATGAATGATCATCTGACTCATGGTCTGACTGCGTCCGCTTGTTGCCCCGGTAGGACCTATTGTTGCTGCTTTTTCAGATCTTAGCAATTATGTGGTGGATAGAATGATAATCAGAACAGATATAATTTCCAAATAAAACCCATACAACAAGAAAACCCAAGATGTCATAAACTATAGTTTACTAGCAGCTGAAAATCTTGTTTTGCTGACCTCCAGTGGTTTAACCTCCCAGCTTGCTGCAGTGATGTGGTTAGTAGTACACTGTGAAATCACTGTTAGGTGTGGTTACAGGTGCAATAGATCAAAACTTCAGACCAGTCAGAGGTGAAATTGAACCAAAACTTTCTTCAAGAAACTTTGCTTTCCCTCTTGCTGTTAAAGTTTTAAATGCACGATTAGTTTGAAAGAAGCTGCTGAGTGTAAACTGCTAAAGGCTTTGTCACTGTCACATGTGTGTGTCTGTTTGTGTGTGTGGCATGTGTGAATACAAGCAGCTAAGAGCCTTAGCCAACAGCTAATGACAGGAAGATTATGAAGTGTTTTGCAGTGGTGTCACCTTACAGTGGAAAGGATTGGAAAACCTTGGAGACTAAATCTCATCAGATGAACTGATGGAATGATGTCGGATATGTGGGATCCTGGAACACAGACGAAATGGTGCACTGAGTACAATTTTAGTGTTAAAAAATACCTTTAAAATACAGTTTGGCTACATAAAATAGTCTAAATCAAAACAGCAGAATATCCTAAATAGACTCAGTTTTAATGTCTTGAATCATAATTATTAATAATAATAATATTTATTTACATAGCACCTAAACCGTGAAGTGCTTTACGCTACAGCCAGTGCAGAGAAGCTAAAACCGGAGTGATGTGTTCTCTCATTCCAGTTTTTGTTAAAACTCTTGCTGCTGCATTTTGTATTAGTTGTAGCCTATTAATACATTTTTTGGGTGCACTAGTAAATACGGCATTACTATAGTCCAATCGTGAAAAAACAAAAGCATGTAACAACTTTTTGGCATCTTCCAATGTGAGGGTCTAACTCTGGCAATGTTTATTAAAGAAAAAATGCAACCTTTGTAATACAACTCAAGAGTTTTTTTTATTATAAAAGTAACACCTTATTCAAGCTCCCAAGGACACAAAAGTACAGCAGATGCGTGTATCTTATAACAACAGAAGAATAAAACAGCATCAATATCACATTAGTGTAACAAATCTATGGGCCCTACCAGCCAGTGTAGAGAGAGCGAGAGTCTGCCAGTCTTTGTCATCTTCTCCAGACTCCTCTGGTGTTCATTCTGCTGAAATCAGAGAGCTGAGGTTCCCAGGCTCAGGCTGGCTCCCCTGTCGTTGCTGCAAAATGTTACACAAACCGTGTGTCTGCCCTTCATGGGTGGAGAGGAGCTGAGAGAGAGAGAGCGAGCATGTAGGCCCTCAATTCACACATATGCACACACATGCACACTCACACCAGTACCCATCCAAGTCCACAAGAGGGCAACCTCCCTGCCGATGTAACTTCCTGTTTCCACACTTGCTCACCCTGCACTCTCTATCAACCTTGAATGTGATGTGAGATAGATAGATAGATATAAATATATATATATGGCACCTCTTCACATTTTTGTTGTGAAAACGAGGCATAACAGCACAACCAGTCCCAAAACACAAACCTCCGTTCACACACTTTCAAGCTGAAACACAGCTCTCTGGTTGCCATGGCAGCCCTGCAGAGGGCCATTAACATGCTGAGCACAGTCTCCAAGACAACTGTGGGAACACAGAATGGGACGTTTGCTAGGAGACGAGTTGCATGAGTACGGTATCACCCACCATGAGTTGGTAAGTTTGTATAAATTTTTTTTTAAATATCTCCTTATGATTGACAATAAATTAATCACTGAGCCCATAAATGTTAATTTTACTACTGATTTTATCCCCATTACTTTTTTAAAGCATAATTTGTGTGTGTGACTATATGTATCCTATGTGCTTGTAAGTTGTGTGTTAGTGTGTAAATGTACCATGTAAAGCGACCTTGAGCTCTGGAAAGGCGTTATATAAATAAAACTTCTTCTTCTTCTTCTTCTTAAAAAAACAATAAATAGTTAACACTTAGCCTAAGGAGTCGGACTTGTAACTAAACTGCACTGAAATGTTTAATGAAGCAAGCTAAGGAAAATAAAGCCGCTCATCCAGACGATCTCGCCACGAGTAAATTCAACCGATGAAAGTATGAATGAAAGCTGCTGTGCAAAAAATAAAAAAATTTCAGTTTTCAGACTATTTACAGGAAGTTTGGTGGTTGACGTGTAAACCGGAAACAAGCAAATGCACGGAGAAATGCATTGAAAAAAGGACACGATTATAAATCTCCTGTGACAGATCATCTTTTCAAACAGACGGCGACTACAGAAGCACACTGCCACATACATCTTTGGTTTTTCCTGAAATGGAGGTGCAGAAGGATTGCTTGCTGTCTTCTCCTTTCCTGTCGACAATGTTATAATGTTCGCACGACGAGGATGTTTAATTGCAAATTTGAACTAGCCTTCAGTTTAGATGGTGCTGCAGACAGTAATGCCATAATAATATAGTGGCAAATATGTATGTTAATTTTTTATTCATTCTTGTCAAAGATACCCGCTGAACTGTTTAATCTATGTCAAGTATAGGGAGACACAATCCACGTAGATGATGACAGGACGCAAGTGTGTCATGTAAAGTCCTTTAGTGCGGTTGCAGAATTGCAGTGTGAAACCAAACCGAAACTAACCGAATGTATCAAAATGTATCACAACATGAACTTTGGCCCCCTAAGACCCAAGGAAAAGATGCAAGTGAGGGAAATGCGGTTGCAATTAAGAGACTGGGGTGGTGATGGCGCACTGGATAAGACTATACCTTTGGTGTGAGAGACCTGGGTTCAATCCCCCACTGTGACCCATCCACCATTGTGTCCCTGATGACATACATGTATAGCAATTATAAGATTTATATAATGATTAACTATAAGGATTGGACCAGATGACGTTGACTCCTCCTGCTGTCTAGGCTCGATGATGATTGGCGTGGCCAGTGGGGGATTCCTCCAATACAAAGCAGCTGCATTTTATTCCAGCCTACCTGTCCAGCTGAGAGAAAAGGGGTGCTCAGTCCTGAACACTGACTGAACATCCATGGAGTACCATATTTTGGTCACACATAGCGACTTGTGAATTACAAGGTAGCCCCGCCCTAAAGCCTCCCCTGCTTTCTGGTCTATTTTCCTCTAAATGGGACCATAATTTACTAAATGAACATGATGCTGTGTTGAAGAACACTTGAAACTAGCGACTGAGACTATTAAGAGGTAAAATATTAAAATTAAAATATTCGTCTCCATTGCCGGTGGACTGCAGCTGTGAAGGTTGCTAGGCGACAGGAGCGGCGCTTCGCCACGCATGGGTAAGGGCGGGGTCAGTTGATGACGCAATAGACAGTCCTCCGTAGACCAGACCGTCTCATTTAACAACGGTCGGTTCGGCATTTTGCGGCCACATGCCTTCGTAGGCCGCGAAGGCCACGCCCTTCGAAGGATGCGGTCCCTGAATTGAGACACAGCTTATATATATATGATCCAGTGGAGTCGCCCAGTGCTAGCTGTTACAGAGAATGCAGGTTTGAGGCTTCACTTTTCAAACCTGAAGGTTCCTGCTTGGTGAAGACACAAAGCTGCACCTTGGCTTCACAAATCAGGCACATTCAAATTTCCATGTGGTTTTGAAACAGACCAATCAAAGAACGATACGCAGATTCAGGTTGTCCTCACACAGATATGGAGGTGGGGTTATGTACTGAGGCGCTGCTGGAGGAAGTGAGGCGAGGAGGCCGGAGCCTTACGGGGTCGCTGAACCTATAGGTATAATCAGCCGCCACGAGATGTCACCCGTCAGTGTGTGAGTGAGTGCGTACCTCATCACAGCTGGCCTGAACGTGCTGCAGAGCCTGAGGGATCGGGGTCAGAGTGAAGACTGGCAGAGACAGACACAAACAATCAGCTATCAATACCTCCTGAAGCGATCAATAAGCCTGTGTGTACCGACAGAGGTTCTTTGTGCTGCTCAGCTTCGGGTTCTCTGTGAGCTCCATAATCTGTTCCAGGGTGAGCTGAGCCAGTTTACTGCTGGAACTGCGAAGACTGAGGACGGAGATACAACTGCTGTACCAGGTACCCAGAGACCATCCTCACCTCTGTCCCATCAGTCCTTACCTCTGTCTCTTGTGGGGCTGGTTGTTGTTCTTGATCAGCTGGGCCTTGATGTGTTCTCCCAGCGTGTTGTCGGGATTGGACACCCAGTGTCCCAGGATGCTAGTGGTGAACTGGTCCTCGGGGTGACATGGACGACTCAGGACCATCTTCACCATCTCCTTAGGGCCTGGGACACAGAGACGTTAACGGGGACCCAGGAGTCTCTAACACGAGTATCCAGATGTGTTCCTGTCGTACTTCTCTCTGCAGAGCAGCAGCAGCAGACAGTATAAGGCCTGTGTTCTAGGAACACAAAGACAAAGGAGTCAGAGGACTGATCAGGTTGGAGGACAGGGACCCTTTCCTGGACACCACTCACCTTTATATTTAAGGTGCTGCAGGATGGGGATGATGGTCTCCAGGGGGAAGCTATGAGCCAGGAACAGCTGCTAGGTGCTGTACTGCTCAAAGGTCTCCCAGTCTAGAGACTAAACTGTGGACACATGAAGAGGACGACGCGAGGACAGGTGGAAGACGCGAGGACAGGTGGAAGACGCGAGGACAGGTGTCCTCTGGGAGTGTCTCACTGAGGATGTTGAGCACAGTCGTTCCTGAAACTCACCAGGCTCCCCATCATCATGTGACACATCAACTCCTGCAGCCGCAACACAGAGACCTGCTTACTGAACACAACCTGGATCAGAACCAGCCTAAAGGTTCTGCAGAGGTGAGTCCTGATCAGCTGTTACCTGTGTGGAGTTGATGACAGCTACAATCATGTTGAGCAGCTAAACGCTCCGCAGTGTCTCATCTGGGAACTGAACCGAGTTAGAAACATTCAGACCTGGATCCGTGTGTGTCCGTGTAGATGGAGGGGGTGAGGTAGCAGAGCAGCCAGATGTCGTTCTCCTGACACGCCGTCCTCCTAACACGCCTTCATGCCCCCCCATGCATCACCAGAGACAGAAAAAAAAAGTTACAAAATCTGCACAGAGGTTTCGAGTCGAGCCCGACTTCAGCTCTGACTGGACGGACAGCCGGAGAGGAAGCTATCATAGCTTATTATCCGTCAGCGTGCAGACCTGGTTTACACACACTGCACTAGGGATTGTTATTTTTATTGATACCCTTACTGCTTACTGATACGATTCTTTAAGGATACCACTATTGATACTTTATTTTGTAAGACCAGACCTAAGGGGCATGAGGTAGGCCTGTACGGTATGAGGAAAATATTCAATGTGCGATAACATTGTTATATACTGAGATGACATGACTTGCAATAAATAAACATATTGAAGTGTGCATATTAACTGTGTGGTTATTTTAAAATTATTTATAGGATTAGAATTTAATAGTTTAAAGACAGCTAAATGTTGTTTCTAGAGCAGCAACATTAATGTTTACATTATAATACTGAGTGACGTTTAGATAGAATAAAAACTCAGTCTGGATCAGTCCCTCCTCCTCCCCTCTGCTGTTATTCACTGCCTACAGGTAACATTACCTAGTAGAAGGAGGAGCAGCTGGTTTATCTCAGCCAGCAGCTGAGATTACAACAATGTGCCAAATTTTAAGGCTGCAGACAGACTGCTGTCTATTTAGCTTGTTTTTAACATTTGGGTAATTGCTAAGTTAACATTAGCTGTGCTAGTAAATAACATAGCCTACAGGATGACAGACTGAGGACAGAGATGATTTCCGTTACAGACAGGTGTATTGATAAAGTATTGTCTTTTTACTCGGGAAGGTTTTATTGCATGTGCTTACAATAGGCCTAACAATCGTAGGTGTCAACAAGGAGTAGTTTGTAGCGAAGTTAACTTTACCGTCTCCACTGCAACGGCTCGGCATTTCGCTCTGCTGACTGCTGTGTGCGTAGGAGCCGACAGAGCAGCAGAGGCTGCAGCCTGATGATAAACCGTCCTGAACCGGGTCTCGATTCCCATCCCTACTTAGCACCAGCTTAATTGATTAGCATTTTAGCAGTCAGTTAGCTCGCCAGTTAAATAAGTTCGCCAACTAGCCCTGAGTTGTCACTGAGATTCTGGTCGGGCCTTTAAACCAGGAGTGCCCAAGCAGTTGCCCAAGTCAAGTCAGTGGTGTAGAAAAAAAACAAGTGTGTTTTGTGTGTGTGTGTTATATTTTGTATTGAATGTACACTACTGCCTATATCATGAGTCCTTGCCTATATCATGAGTCCTTGCCTACAGTCCACAAAATAGTATTTAAAAAAAGAGAAAAAGAAAAAAGTAGGTCACGTTTAACCTACGGGAAGCAATAGTTGCAGCCTTACTCTGGGTCTTCGTTTTGGTGAAGATTGACTGCCGCGCTGTACACTGTGCTTTCAAATCCCGCACTTTTGTGGCACGTAAAGGCGTTTTTGCAGGGAAATCCCTCTCGTAGCTCCCGTGTACTGTTTTAAAATGCCGCTCCAGATTTCCTCTCTTTGCCAACACCACCATTGCATTGCAGATCAAACAAACAGGCTTTGAATGAGAAAAAAAAAATTAAATTCCTCCCATTCAGGGTGAAAATGGTAGGTCTTGCTCGTTTCCCCTCAGCCATGTTAACATTTAGGAGCGTGTAACCGTTTTTCGCTAGCTTCTAGCTACTATTGACAGCTGTCAACCTCCGGTCATGCATGTCACACACGACTAAATACAAGAAGCCATTCAAGTGAAGGAAGCCTTTCGAGGCAGCGGATAGCCTTTTTTTTACGACTTAAAAACAGAGATCATGAAGGCCATTAAAGAAGTGCAACTCTCCCGAAATACTACAGCAAGGCGATTTGAGAGAATTGCTGTGGATGTAGAGCAACTGAAGAAGGATATTGACGCGTGTGAGCGCTTTTCCCTCCAATTTGACGAGTTGACTGATATGGTGGATGTGGCACAATTGTGTATTTTCATCAGGATGGATTTTGGAGACATGAGCGCCAAGGAAGAGCTACTCACAATTTTGCCATTAAAAGGACACACCAGAGGTGAGGATATTTTTTATGCTTTCATGGGATTTGTTAGCGAGACAAAACTGCCGCTCTTCAAGCTGATCTCCATCACAACTGATGGGGCGCCTGCTATGATGGGCCGCACCAGTGGGTTCATTACACTGTGTAAAGAAAGTGAATCTTTCCCGGATATCCTGAATTATCATTGTATAATTCACCAGCAAGCGTTGTGTGGAGAAATTTTAAATATGAAAGAAGTCATGGATATTGCGATGAAGATTGTGTGTTCAGTTTGGGCCAGGAGTCTGCAGAGAAGGCTTTTCCGTGCTCACTTGGAGGAGAATGATTCTGAGCACACAGACCTGCTGCTTCACACGGTTGTTAGGTGGTTAAGCAGAGGTAAATGTTTGGCCAGATTCACGGAGCTATTGCCTGAAATCAAGGACTTCCTGAAGCTTTCAAAACGTGTGGATTAACATACAAAGCTAGAGGACCACCAGTGGCTTTTAGATTTATCTTTCCTCACTGATCTCACTGGCGAGCTCAATGAATTGAATTTATTGCTGCAGGGTAAGGATAAAGATGTAGTCAACATGATGAGTTCAGTGAACACATTTAAAAGCAAGCTACAGCTGATGTCAAGCAGGCTGCAGCGTGGTTACCTGCGCAACTTCCCTCACATGCAAGCAGAACTACAACGTCAAGGTGTGACACAGCTTGACAGTGCACGTTATGAGGAGAATGTTCAGAGCATCTCAGCAGAGTTTGAGAGGCATTTTACTGACTTTGCATCCATTGAGCCTGTAGCCAGCTATATGTGTTATCCATTTGGTGCAAGTATTGATGTTGGTGACATTGCCGTGAAAGTCAAATCACTTTTCGACTTGGAAAGCTCCGCTCTTGAGGATGAGATTCTGACATTGCAAAATGACAATGAAATCAAAGCATATGTAGTGGACCAACCAGCCTCTCACCTCAAGAGGGAGGTGAGGTCAGATAATGCAAAAACTAGAGACATTGCCTGGGTTTTATTTTTGCACAGACTCAGACATGCATCGCTTAAGGATTGTGTATTCAAAGAGCCTTAGTGAACCTCTCTCTCCGTAAAGGTATCACTGGAGAAACTTAGCAGTACAGCAAAGGGGCTGTCTGACCCCTCTCTCTCCACAGGTCACCTCCGGACATCAAAAGTACCACCCATCCGGCCTCAACCTGACTCTTTTTCCCACAGAATGGCTAAGCCATAAAACACCACTCCCTTCTCTCTTTAGCCGATATGCAAATGTGATAAGCCAGGTGTGCAAAAGGGGAGACACTAACAACCCCTGTTTTTCTCGAACCAACAAAGGTTCCATTATAAACTTTGTTTGTTCTGTTTAAATAATAACCCTTGCTAAGTGAGTAGTGGCGTTTGCCTCTTAGTTTAGTAGTAATGAACCTGTTGTTATCCTTTAGTGATGTTTGAAGACTAGAGAACCATAAGAAAGTAATCTTGAAGAGTTCCCTAATTTCCTCTTTTTGTTTTGTCTTAATTCCTCCCTGTTATTCCCTAGTAATCACTGTCTGTTTAGTATTAACTAATGCTTTAGTTAAACGTTTCATATACAATTTTCTACTAAAACATTCATCCGCAAGCTTGTGTGTATAACCAGCTTTCCAGTTCCTAGTAAGTTGAATATCTACTCTTCATGTAACCAGAACTCCCCAAGTGGACAAAATAAGTATTGCATGCCATCGTTCTGAAATGCCGTTTTAATGTATAAATGTCACTCTGTATTTACCTGTTCATAATCTGATGCCATTCGTGTATCTTGCTTATAGTCTCTAAGTAAGAACGTGTAACAGCCAATATTATCCAGAAAGCTAGTTAAGTTCCTCTCATCTGATGTGATTCCTAGGAAATGCTAACCTTAAGGTTGAACTACTGACAATTGTTTTCCTTTTATCAAATGCTTAAAACTTAGAATGGTATAACCGTTTCACAATTAAGGTTTGATTGTGTGAAGATATTTGATACAATACGCGCAAATAGATTTTTGAATAGAAATATTAAGAGTTAAGAAGACAGTATCTCAGGAAACCGGAAACAAGCCCTCAGGGGAACAAAGGACTGCCCCTCTGGGAACCACGCCCCAACAAACAAAAGTGACACCCGCTCTCTCTTCTCTTGCTCTCTTGTCCTCTTGGCTCTGCATGCGCTCAGCGTGCCCCGTCTCCCGGCAACGCCCTAAGAAGTTCGACCCGGCACAGCGAAGGCTATTTGTTCGTTTCAAGCCACACACACGAAGCGCCGTGACCTTGACTTTTCCCTCGTTCCCAGCAAATGACTTGCTTTTTATTTTATTTTGTTAAAAGTTAGACCGTTAAGTTACACTAGTTTAATTCAAGAGCGACCAAGTTCTTTTTAAGCTTTATTCGTTGAGCTAACTTACACTGCTCCGGACCGGACCTGTGCACGTGGGCCCGCCAGCAGTAACAAAGGACGACCAAACCTCTAACCCGAGCCAGGGTTGTAAAGGCCACCACTGCAAGTTTCTTCAATAAGCCGACAAAAGAAGGACCTCCGGAGCAATTCCCTGGCAGAGAAAGTGACCGGCCGACGGTTTTAAGCCGTCCTAACCGAGAACGCATGGAACTCCGCGAGCGCGAGGCCGCCAACCAGCAACCCGGCTTGGAGAAACGACAAGCAGTAAGACCAAACCAAGGCAGTGTGATCAGTGATGTCCCCATAGTTTGTTAATAGATTATCTTTAACTCTTAAAACTCATAGCTTGCGTTCATTAGCTGCCCGTGTGAATCAAATTCTCCCCACAATAGAACTCCACATTCTCATTGTTTAGCTATTGTTTATTTCTTTGATGTATATTTAACCACATTTATGTCGCCTTAGTTAGTTAATAAATTTCACTGTAATCACAGGAATTGTGTGTGTATTGCTTAA